GCGGCGGCGGAGGAAGAGGAGGAGGAGGAGGCGGCGGCGGGGGATGGCCGGGACTGAGATGAGTAAGTGATTCTAGGCGAATAAGGGGTTGATGAAAGAGGATTGATAAAGTTTTTTTTTTACCTCTTCTTTTTCTTCCCTAACTTCTCGTCTCCTTCATCTCATTCCTTTGGTGATGAGAAAAAAAACCCACGTTATGTGATCTTTAACGAACATAGTTCAGATTGAACTTATGAGTGGTGAGATGATTTGTGGGGAAAAAATGAACCCATTCAGCATTTGTACTAATTAGACAGATTTTGACAAAGAGGAAAGTTGTATTCGCATTCTTCAAGAATTTTTATTCATTCCGATGATTAGTGAAGAAATCAAGGCCGATGATGGAAATAGACAATAATCGAGCTAGTGAATGTAATCCATCAAAGGAATCAAGCTCGGTAATCAAATAAATCATCATGGTCGGCAATAGGAGGGGACAGAATAATGTTTGACGATGAGAGAGACAAAGAAATTCAGTTGAACGAGAAAGAAGGTGCAGAAATGAAATATTTATTAGATGCTTTGTGAGGGCATCTCCAACCAATCGCACCAAAATGGTGCAAATTTTGCATCAAAATGATGCAAAAGTCACATTTAACAGTAATTCATCTCCAATCCACTGCACCATTTTTTATACCAAAAAGGAATATTCTCAGTATCTTTCTTTTTATCTATTTTTATATTATTATTTTTTATTCCCTATATTTTTAACTATTTCAACAATTAACCCCACATATCAAATTTTATTTTTTCACATATTTTCCAAACAAAATGATTTATTATTTAAAAAATTAAACTAATAAAACAATAAAATATTATTTTATTAATTAAAATAACTTGATTGCTAAAATATTATATTTTTATTATTGATATTGTCAAAATATTACATTCAAGAACACAACAGAAAATAAAATACAAGAAAATAATTAAACATTAACAACAATGTAAAAATTATAAACTTAGTATGCGCTTAACTATCTGAATTAGTGTATTCCTCCCATAGATGATCTATCAATGCATTACGAAGCGCAATATGGGTATTCCTCCCATAGATGATCTATCAATGCATTACGAAGCGCAATATGGGCATCTTTATCCTTGATTTTTATGTAATGTGCAATAAATTGAGTAAATCTTGTAGTTTCATCTGCTGCCATATCAACTTCTGGTGTTGGTGCTTCCCTCACTTCTTGAATTGGTGCATAAAGATCACGCTCATCCTCGATTATCATATTGTGCATAATAATGCATGCAGTCATTATGTCATGTAATACATGTTTTTTTCAAAAACGTGCTGATCCTGCCACGATTGCAAATCGTGATTGGAGAACTCCGAACGCACGTTGTACATCTTTTCTACATGCTTCCTGTTTCATGGCAAAATATTTTTTCTTCCTACCTTGTGGTTGTTGGATTGTTTGTACAATAGTAGCCCATTTTGGATATATACCATCAGCTAAATAATAACCCATATTATACTCTTTTCCTTGAATAACATAGTGAGCGAGAGGAGCAATACATTGAGCTAGGTTAGAGAAAAGATTAGATGACTCCAGCACATTGATATCATTATTGGTGCCTGGCATACCAAAATATGCGTGCCATATCCAAAGATCATAATCTGCCACAGCTTCAAGGATAATAGTTAGTGACCCACTACGTCCTGCGTATTGTCCAGACCATGCTGTTGGACAATTTTTTTCATTTCCAATGCATACAATCAAGACTTCCTAACATTCCTGGAAAACCACGTTTTTTACCAATATAGAGTAGCCTAGCAATATCGTTAGCATTAGGTGTTCGTAGATTCCGCTCTGCGAATATCTCCACCATAGCACGACAAAATCTTGTCATACTTTCAATTGCTGTTGACTCACATGTTTTAACGTATTCGTCTGTAGCATCAGCTGGTAGACCATATGCCAACATGCGAAAAAACAGCTGTTACTTTCTGTAACTGTGATAATCTCATTCTACCAAGTCCATCACTTCGTTGTTAGAAGTAATGGTCATGATCTTTCACTGCATCAACAATACGAAGGAACAAACTTCTTGACATCCGATATCGACGACGAAACATATCTTCTCCAAAACGTGGATTATCGGCAAAGTAATCTATGACCAAATTCTGATGCGCAGTTTCTCGATCGTGGTTGGTCACTGCATGACCGGGAATCGAGCCACCATGGATCGGTTGGTAGTTTTGTTGACGTAAATTGTTAGCGATGATCATGTTGTTGTTGATGTACTCACAAATTACTTCTTTGGTTTCATCAATCTCTGCAATGATATTGGACAGAAAATTATCATCATCCGAAGATGAAGATGATGATAAATATGATGGGTCTCCAACACCGAAATTCATTTTTGGAGTAAGAAAAGAATGACTGAAGTATACAGAAATGGAGAATAATAATTTTAACACAACAACGAATAATTGTGTGGATGTACCTAATCTAGTATGCTATTTATAAAACTTTGCTTAGTTGTATACGTTGAACAATGTGTAAACTTTACTTAGCTGTTACACATTTGTCACAAAATTCAAATTTGCTTAGCTGTGTATACGTTGGACAATGTGTAAAGCTGATCAGTTTCCAAAAAATGATTCCCACCGACAACGTTGGACAATGTGTAAAGCTGATCAGTCTTCAAAAAATGATTCCCACCGACAACGTTAGACAATGTGTAAAGTTGATCAGTCTTCAAAAAAATGATTCCCACCGACAACGTTAGACAATGTGTAAACCTGACCAGTTTTCAAAAAACGATTCCCACCGACAACGTTGGACAATGTGTAAAGCTGACCAGTTTTTAAAAAAAATGATTCCCACCGACAACGTTGGATAATGTGTAAAGCTGATCAGTCTTCAAAAAATGATTCATACCGACAACGTTGGACAATGTGTAAAGCTGACCAGTTTTCAAAAAATGATTCCCACCGACAACGTTGGACAATATGTAAAGCTGACCAGTTTTTAAAAAATGATTCCCACCGACAACGTTGGACAATGTGTAAAGCTGATCAGTTTGAACACAACGATTCAATTTCAAATGTTGACCACCGACAAATTCAAATTTAAATTCAAACAAATTTGGATTGGCTATAAATAACATTCACGAATTCTACTTCAAACCACCTAATTCGAAGTATTTTTTCACAGTATTTATAATCTCCAAACCAACCGCCTTTTACAAAAAAAATGTCTGTTCGATCATATGGATACACGGTTACTGAAGATGTGCTCCTTTGTCAAGTATTCTTGGATATTTCTCAAGACCCTATTATCGGTAGAAATCAGTCTCGAGATGCATTTTGGTCTCGTGTGGAGGACAGATACAATGAACTTTGAGATCAGCATATTGAGGTGCGTATGAGCCGATCAATTCGTTCTCGAATGGAAATCATAAGTAATGAAGTAAGGAAATTAAGTGCGTGCTTGAGACAAGTAGAGAATCTGAATCCAAGTGGTGCTTCAGATGAAGACATTGTAAGTATTCTATTAATTACCTTTTGAAATTTATTATTATTGTTGAAATACATAACTTGATGTTCACTAAAATTTGCAGTTAGCTCGCGCAAAGATGTTATTTATGCAAGAACCAAAGTACAAAAAATGTTTCAAATTTGATCATGTCTGGAATATGGTTAAAAATTTCGAAACATTTAAAGATGATGTCTCCACAGCAAGACAAGTTGGTCGAAGACAACCCCAAAGCATGAACTTCGACTCGTCACAATCAGATAATCCCACTCCAGAATCTCCTATATCAACATCTCCTGGACTGTCATCATTTACTCCATCTGAACGACCTATTGGGGTAAACAAAGCCAAATTGAAAAGGAAAAATGATGATCATGAGTCAAGTGTAGTGGACTCCATCGAGACCTCCAATAACCGACTTATAGACAGGTTAGACAAGGCGAGCTTGGACAGGCAAGTAGCGTTTGATAGACAAGCAAGGCATTTGATATCGAACGAGAAAAGATAGCCATGAAAAAAGATAGAGATGAATGGAAAATTATAATGAAAGATTTGAATTCCATTGCTGATCCAAACGCGCGTGAGTACATTCGAGCTCAACATATTAAAATAATACAAAAAAGAAATCAACAAGAACAAGGGTCTGCTTCTATTTTTGGCAATTATTTCAATGATATTGGACACTCTGGCCCCGATCTACCAGATTATTGAGAGTTGCTTGTCCATCTTATGTAATGTTCCATGTTTAGTTTGTATTTTATGTTTTATTTTAATGAAGTTTTATGTTATGTGTGTCCGTTTTTATATGTTATGTATTTCAGATATGTAATTTATATTTGAATTATGTATTATGATTGCTCTTTATAATTCATGAGACTTTACTTATAATGTCTAGATTTTAATATTATAATTAATAATAATGTCTTTTAAATTTTAGCATTATTTTTATTTTTAAAAAATAATTTATTTTGTCTAAATTATACAGTTGGGGTAAAATTATAAAATTTAAATATTATTGGGGTTGTTTTATACATTTAATAAACAATTGGGGTCAAATTGTAAAAAGATAAAAGTATGAGGTAAAATTAAAAAATTAAAAAATAAAAGAAAGCAGTAATGCGGTGATGAACAGTGCGACGCCAAATATAGCGTCGCGCTGTTCATCCCCGCTAAAATGCAGCGAAAAATGACGCTGCGTTGGAGCTCCGGAGCAGCGGCAAAACGACTTTTTGCGGCAAAATGGCATCGCGTTGGAGATGGTCTGACGAAAATGACCCTGACTTGGTATTAATAGGCATTAATCACAATATATAGTAATTGACACGTGGACATGCCACGTGTACTGTCCCATGGACCTGTCCCATTTTTTGGTCCTGGTAGCACTACTCATACTATAGATGCTTGTCGTAATAGTTGCCCGAGCGTTTGCTTGTTTGTATACATACATTAGCAGTTTTATTGCCGTATTCAGCTAGATTGTGCTCTGCCAGCGTATGCTGCTAAGTTTTTCCGAAATTATTCCGTTTTGGGTTAAAATCAGCCTCTTTCTCCCAAGGGAAAAAGAAGGTCCTATGATGTAAAATATTTCGGGCCGGACTAGTAGGATTTTGACATCTACGTCTAATTCAATCCGATGATTATTATTGGGTATGCTAAATCCTCTTGAACTTTTAGCGTTTTGCAGTAAATGCGCATGAACTTCAAAATCACACTAAACCCATGGAACTTGAGGTAAATTACACTGAACTCCCATGGAACTTTGAAAATTACAAAACATTCCCCAAAAGAAATAAAAATTACAAAAAGCCCAATAATTTGAATATTACAAGCAACCCCTTGAAAAAAACCAAAAAAGGACAAACAAAGAATTAAAAATAAAAAAAACTACAAATAGCCCCTTGAAATAAAACGAATTGCACTAGCCCTTGAAAAAAATCTGCAAGTTTCAAATAACACTTGAAACTTTAAAAATAACAAACATACCTCCAAAATTTTCAAATATCAAATTAGCCCCAAACAATTTGAAAATTACAAACAACATCTTTAAAGTTTGAAAATTTACAAAAAAAAAAGGAAAATTATGAAAACCATAAATATCCCCTTTAGAAATATGAATACAAACAATCCCTTGAAATCAAAGAGTTACAAAGAGATTCCTCAGATACTTTTGCTAATGTGTAGAGGGTATTATGGATATTTACTATTATGTTCTAATTTTATACCTTTTTATAATGATTAGTTTCCAAACATGACATAGGTATTAAAGATGTTCATAACAATTTGAGACAAGCATATTATTAAAAATTTAACTCGCTACAGTCTGTGAAACTATTATATCCAAGTATTATAGTGAGTTAAATTAGTCCTAGTGTTAAAAAAGTCCCATATCCAAAACATACCTTAATCTACTTTGAATATTATATTTTAATCATATCCTAATTAATAATATATATTCAAATATTTTAAAGATAGAATTTTTTACCCAAATTTGACATGAAAAGAGATAAAACAAGGTGGTTAAAGAAAAATCTTTTGATCACAATTTAAAAAATAGTTAATATATCTTGTAGGATTTTTTAAGATAAAGTTTCGTCTCGTTTCAATATCAATCACAAGCATAATGAAATGTTATTTATAAAATAAAAGAGAAATTGGTGAAATATTCTTGAAGGCACCAGAAATCGCCGAAAAAAAGAAAATTCTAATAATCAAATATTTATTTATTATAAACAAATTGTAAATGTTCATAATTAAAATTTTAAAAAATATCATGTGCTCCTCCTTAATCTATGTCTATACTATTTATAAAAGATGACTAAGGTCTTAAAACATTTAATTGCCTCTTTTACCTTCCAAATTTGATAATATCCAATAATGCCTTGAAATTTATTCAATTCCTTTTATTTATTACACTATAACTATTCATGCAATAAACATAAGAACTAATATTAAAGACTAACCCTATGTTCCCTGGCGAAACACAGTTTGGGAGGGGTGGAATTATCCAAAACACTCATTCGTGCTCTGGCTTTCTTGTCATTCCAGATTGTTAACCCAAGACAAGCTAATTAGAATGAGGATTCTTAATGAAAATAGATGTGTTCTATGTCCTTCTGATCTGCGAAGAGAGGAAACTAGTCATCACTTGTTCTTTGATTGCCAGTATTCAGCTCAGGTATGGAACAATGTGATGGATTGGTTAAAATTTTCTTGGAGGTCTTGCAATTGGAATTGTTTGCTATATTGGTATGCTTATAATCTTAAGGGAAATGGATTCATGAAGAGGATTAAGAGAATATCTCTAGCTACTACAATTTATTTTGTGTGGCAGGAAAGAAATCTGCAGATATTTCAGGGGAAAAATCGTGATACTGGGATTCTCTTTCGGGCAATCAAGATGTCCATTTTTTCAAAAAATTTAAATGAGAAAAGCCCGCTGTAATTTAGAGAAAAACTTGAGAGGATGTAAATTGTACATATAGTGAGTGATTGTGTGGATATCTAGGCAGATTGTTATGCTGGAGTTCTTGATGTTCTACAAAGTTTCACATGGTGAATGAATAAAATTAATATTCATTAACAAAAAAATATATTAAAGACTAAATATATACTATAAACTTTAATCAAAATTTTATTCGATTCATTCTGTTTATTGCGCTATAATTATCCTTGCAATAAACATAAGAATTAATATATATCATAAATTTCAACCATGTTAGTCTTATGCTAAATAAGATGAATATTTCACTTTAGATATTAGATATTACACAATAAATATACAATTTTAATATATAAATAATAACATCATAACCTATATTTATAGATTACATTGTAATCTAAGATAATTTAATATTTAATAAAAAATATAATATCTAATCTAATATTATAATATATTAATATGTGTGTTTGATATATGGAAAATTTTGTGGAGAGGAATACTAATCTAAACGTTAACCCCTTAGTGTATGTAGTCTAGAAATAACATATAAAAGTATATATCATAATATATATTACTAATTATTGCGATATACTTGTCATAATATTTGGATACAAGATAATGCTGAACATGCGGAAGTCCAAGTGGTGGGAAGCTATTACATTTGCTCTTGACACTGGATGTGGAAAGGTAATTTTTAAAGAAGATATAGAGGTGGGTAACACTCGATTTTTAGACACGTTAAGGATGATATTTGGCGATATTTCACATGGCTCAAGGAATGTGATTTTCAAGTAGTTCATCAAATGAGGAATGTAACGGCTCATGTATTCGTCCAAAGAGTTAAGAAATTTGATGATTTTGTGGTATGACTCAAACTACTGTTTTACACAATGTTTTGTAGTTTGATAAGGAGCAGCATTATTCCACATTTTTATTATTGTGCTTCTGTATTTTTAGCTTAGTTTAGATGCGTCTTAACATTTTGTATACGAAAAAACGATAGCAATATAATAATTAGATCCTACTAACAAAGTAATTTATTACATCTACCCTTCTGAACCTACTAATAATGTATTTAAAATGAATAGCAGTGAGAAATGAATTCATAATTAAAGCGTTCATGTATCTTCTCTCACTGACTAATCAAATTCTTTTAATTAATCATGCACTAATTATTTTACAAATAATCTACTTCCATAAACATTTCACTTGGATCTCAATAGTTGCATAAATTTGTATTATATATGGATGCTCAAATGCACAAAAGAAAACTTAAAAAGAATTAAAAGAAAAAAATGGAGGAAGTAAAAATTTTGACAGTGGAGTCAGTCCTTCAATTACAATAACTATGATACCTTCCAGTCACCTTCCTGTCAATAAGATTTCATATGTGATAATTGCAAAAAACCTCTAAAAATCTAAAATTGCAAAAAGACTCTTAAAATTATAAAATTATAAATAACCCTGAAAATTTTCATAAATTGCATAACCTATTTTGAAAATCCAAAGATACAAACATTGCTTTAAAAATTGTAATTTATAAAAAAACCCTCCCTAAAGATTAAACAAGCATAAATAGACCCTTCAAATTAGAAATTTACAAAAAACCTCAAATATTACAAAAAATCCCCCAAATATTTTAAAAAACAGCAACAACCCTAGATAAATATAACATTGGAAAAGAACCTCTTTAAAATTCAAAAATTACAATCAATCACTTGAAAATTCCAATAATTACAAGCAACCAATTAGTCATTTCATAATTTAGATCCATGACTATTGGTATATGATCTTTCCTTAGAGGCTATTAGCCCCATATGGCATCACATTGAAGGAGAAATAATTTGATTATTAAATTGTTTAGGGCATAAAAATTAGTATACTATACTATGAATTTGCGCAAATCATAAGATGACAACATAGAATTGCGATGATAATCAAATTATTTGCGTAAATTACTTTTTTCCATAACAGGACCTTCATGTAGTATTCATTATATATAAATTATACTTAATGTGAATTTACCATTTAATCTTGACTTTGGCCATGGTAATTTTAGTAATTTTGATTAACTACATAGGTATAGATACAATAAAGTATTTTAGCTTTTCGCATGGAAATAAAGAAAACATTTCACAATAGAGTTATAGTAAGGAAATAAATAAAAAGAAACTATAATAATATTTAACCACGTGCAATATGCGTGCATCAACCTAGTTAAAAAGAAAATTCAAGTGGCCGAGTTAAGCTAGCTCTGTATCACAACAGAAAAAGAATAAAAACAAGACCATACATTTCCTAGCACCAAAATGGAAAATGTAATTTATAAATAGAAACATTGTACTGAGCACATATTGGGCTTATAAAATAAACTCTTGCTTTATGGTGCCACGAAATTCTCTTCCTACATGAAGTAGGAATCTCAGGTGCAAATAGGGGTGTTCAAGCGGGTTGGGCAAGTAATCGGTTCGGGAGTCGAAGCAATCGGGCCGGGCCCAGGTCTACGTCCGGGCTACATGCGTGTCGGTTATCGTACCGACTTGGTTTAATTTTTTTAATTTTTTTAATTAAAAATTATGTTTTTTAACAAAAAAAAAATGCAAATTAGTTTTTTTTACCTTGATGCCAATGATCTATTAATAAACCCCTCCTCCAGCAACTTATGCGTAATTAGAAGAATACCGACGAGATCAACATCAGAAAATATAACAACTAGTTGCAAGTTAGATAAAGGTATGCCGTATGCGTTATTAATTAAATATTGTTTCTGTATTTATTCATCCACGCTGTCTTCAAATAACAGTCTCATCGTTCTTTGCTTTCATTCTTATTATTAGTGGACAGAAAGTAGCAGTACATACACCATTCATGCTCCATTCTGTTTATCTAGGATAAAATTGCAAATTGGCAATGTGAAGTTTGTCAATGAAATACTATATTTAAAAATGGGTTTCACGTTTAATAAATGTACACGGCTTTATGTTGAATGAGAATTACTGCACATCGCACGGCTACACTTTACGAGTTACAAAGGAAGTGAATAAAAAAACTTTGGCTTTTGTTTGGACAAATTTTCAAAACCACCCCTTTACGAATTTATTTGTAAAAAACGACCCTTTTCTGAAAAAATTTCAAAAACCGACCTGGTTTCAGCACTGTCGCTGAAACCTGGTCGGTTTTTGAAAATTTTTTTACGAAACTTCACGGGATTTCAACTCCCGTGAAGTTTAGTATGTTTTTTAACTTCACGTGAGTTCAACTCCCATGAAGTTTAATTTCTTTATAAATCTTCACGGGAGTTGAACTCCCGTGAAGATTTACGAGCAAATTAGACTTCATGGGAGTTCAACTCCCGTGAAGTCTGTTTGGTGTTAAAAACTCAACGGGAGTTCAACTCCCGTGGAGTTACAGGCCAAATTTCCCAGAGAATCGCTCTCTGGGAAATTTGACTGCAACTTCACGGGAGTTCAACTCCTGTGAAGCTGCAGGTCTTACAAAACATGCACAACAGCCTGTGCATGTTTTGTATACACCATTTACCTGGCACGAATCAAACAATATATAACTAACTCATTTACCTGTCAACAACAATTACTACAATATATATATGATTTAAACACGCACGAATCAAACAATACACAAAAAGATTACATATATGAACAACAATTGATCCACAATAGTATAATATTTGAAAATTCATAGAAGTTACAAATTTTAACAAAACAAGTTCAAATACAATCCAATATAGCTCCTCTCCTTCCTCTCCCTCTCTTCCCTCTCCCCCTCGCTCTTCCCCGCCCCCCGCGATCCTGCTGATGAGCCTCAACTATCTGAGTATCCGGCTGTGTATGAGGCTGAGAAGTGCCGGCTCCCTCAGCATGAAAGCACGGACCTGTGACGTAAACAATTTATTAAGTACCAACTCAATAAAAAAATGCTATAATTTAGCTTAAAAACTTACATAATCTCTCTCGTTCATCCCACTAGGGATGTAACTGTCTGTCGGTGGGCGTGGCATGTGTCCAGCTGATGGTTGTGGGTCACGCGTGATCCATCTACGTGTAATACCCCAATACCAGCGCATATACGCGGTATAGTCAACAGCTATGAGCCTCGTATCCTGGATGAAATCCTACCTGTGAGCCCACCAGTCTATGTAGGCCGCACGGACTATAGCCCAGTCGGTACGGTGCGAAGTAGGCCACCGCCGACGATCGATCTGCTCGACAGGATCTGGCACATGCTGAGAGAGCGTAAACTGCCGTAGCACACGGCCAGGGACATGCATCTCCACGATCTCCCAACAAATCAATGGAACTCTGGCTCTCCACAAGTCGGGAGTATCTCGGCAGATGGGTGCAAGAGAATGCATATCGAGATCCGGCGGTGAGTAAGGTGTCCACCTGAACTGAAATAAAATAAAATATTTATCAGTATCAACAACAAAACTATAATATTCATAACTACTTGAGATTTATATTTACCTGTTCATGCTGGAGGCCATCAAGCTCATTTCGGTAAAACTCACGATGGCTCGTCGCTGATCGGTACTTAGCGTACCGCACGTTATACCTATATAATGAATAGAGAATATATAAGTACAAATTCAGTACGAATAAAATTTGTGTGTACAATTATACCTGTATGCCAAAGAAAATTGCCCCTGTAGGTCACGGTGCACAAGTAAAGTAGGTCGTCCAATATGAATGTGCTCCCATGACCAAATCTGTATCAATGTGCAGCATCCCTTGAATTCTTTATTCTGCATCAGGGATACTCTACCCAGCTGTGACGCCCTGGGTTCACACAAGGCTGCAGTCCGAGGTAAAACCAGAAATGTCAAACCTGTCATGCACCACACCGTGCAATAACATGTTTCACCATCACAATTACTATCTCTCTAGTAGAGTCAATAACAGGTGTAGGTACAAAAGCAAGTAAGAGATTATACAAGAATCAACTGATGAAATAATAGAGATCAAATTAATATTTCATCGTCTAATATACTGGAATACAAGTAAATGTCTGAAATAAATTAACTGGAGTTCTCAACAAGTCTCAAATACAAAATGCCTGACAAGAGGAAATAAGGCACACAGCCTTTATAACTTCTAGAATAAAACTCTCACATGTCTACACAAAAGTTTACAGTGGAGCTCAAAAGAAAATATAACTAAATATACGGCTGAAGCTAAAGTGCATCGCCATCAACCTGCTACAGTGGAGCTCAAAAGAAAATATAACTAAATATACGGCTGAAGCTAAAGTGCATCGCCATCAACCTGCGACTCTCCGGGCTCCTGGCTCGTTACCTAAAAGGGGGAGGGACAACGAGCGTCAAAGCGCTAGCTAGCGAGCAACATCACAACCAACCCCAATGGATAGGGCTCGTTGTATATGAAAATACAGTTAATACATAATAATATAAGATCATTTATCCTAACAATAATGGGTTTCGGTACTTATGAAATTACAACACGAGCGTAGGTACGTCGAGCGAAATAATCCAAACAAGGAAACCCTCATGTATATACCTTGTATCTCAAATTGTAATTCCCTAAACACCAAACCCGAAGTCTAATATAGGAAACGATAAAGAAAAGAAAACAAACACATCTCTACTGATAAACGTAAACATGCCAAAGATTACAATAAGAGGCATATCCAACCTAGGTAGCTATCGTGTCCTAGCCTCATATGATATGTCGTGTACCAACCTTGGTTAAGTATCATGCTCAAGGTTTAGCAAGAGTCTAAAACATGACTGTAATGGATTATGGTCCAACACGAGGACCCTAATGGATTATAGTCCAACACGAGGACTCAAATGGATTATAGTCCAACACGAGGACTGTGTGTGTGAACCATAGAATACAAACGATAAAGGTATACATGTCCTATTCTTGTACATGCCTCGCTGTACCGATCTAAGCTTGTGTCCGAAAAGTCATTTTTTGCATGCGTAGAGAAAATCATAAATACTGTAATTTATTACCCGATAAACAAGGCAACATTCTCATGTTCAACAAAAGCTCAACAGAACCCTCGATCATATATGAACACTGTATGAAAGTATAAGCACAGTAGGTGATCAAGCAGAAATACAAACAAAATAGGAAAACTCCGATGAGTCGACTCATGATCAGCTATGAGTCGACTTATGACTCATGGGTCGACTTATATACTAACGAGTCGACTCAGCAGACACTTACTCATGGGTCGACTCATATACTGACGAGTCGACTTATGACTCATGGGTCGACTCATATACTGACGAGTCGACTCAGCAGACACCAAGAACCCCTACTGAGTGATTTGTACAAGTCAACACTCCCATTGTGGTCACCAGTTTGTTTACGTCGAAAGTTACTGTTTTTATTACTATCGAATCTATTACAACTTTAGTTGTTACAATAAACTCGAATAAAATAAAAAGTTAATCTTTTTATAAGATCTCCTTACACAATGAAAATAAAAAAGTTTACAACTTTATCAAACAAACGCAGAGATCGTTTATCGGTCTTCTGCTTGCGTGGGTGTCTTTGCCTGTGCCGGGGTTTATCCGTGGACCACCTTTGATCTAGATCCGGTTGATGGAAAATTCGACAGAGCTTCGCCTTCACCGAGGTAGTGTTTGATTTGAAGCGCTGAGATCGACCAAGCAAAATCAGGACTCTTCTCGAGATTAAGACCAAGCCTAATCTCGAGGAACGGGGAAACGGGCTTCGGATCTCTCGAACTCTTCTTCTTTATGCTGAAGAACTCACCGAGATCTGTCAACCCTCGCTGAAATTCGTGCTCCTTTGACTCCTCAATCCGGCAGCACCTCCTCATCTTGAATAATTAATCCCCTGCTGAAAGGAGGACCCGGGCTCGTATTTATAAGCTTCGAAAGCGGTTATTTGGATGAGAACAAATGATTTGGCCTTATCTTTAGTCAATAACGGCCTAACCACGTTTGTAGATGATATCAAGTCAGTTGGGAACCTTTGGAACTAAAAAGATCTCGAGAAAACCATTAAAACCGTTGAAAAACACATCAGGGGGTCAAAACAGCGTGGCGGGTCGCGCTGACCCGCGGGGGCGCGGGTCGGCCAAAGCCGACCCGCGCTGGTGCGGACGTCCTGCATCGGCGCGGGTTCCGAAGCTTGACATTTTCTTTTGGTTTTCCGACTCTTCCGGGACTTGTATTTTTCACCGTTTTGCGTGCTTGACCGTCTTGTTTACTTGTACGATTTCGTTACGAGACTGACCGTCGAACGCGCATTGGTTGACTTGCGCGTGTTGACTGACGCGCACGAACTGATTGACGCGCGCGTGCCACTTGGTTTGTCGTTTCGCTTCATACGCTTGTTGACGACAGATAATCCTCTTAGACTCGGATAACGACGTTCGTTATCTTCTCTCTGTCTCGAGCTGTGTGCGGACACCCATAGGCATTTTTAGACGCCTATAAGCTCTCGATACAAGTATGCCAATACCGCACTGCCCCATGATAGTGCGCCGCATACGTCAAAATCCTCTAGCAATGGCAGCCATCGTGCATGTACAAGGGTCTTGCTCCCATCAGAAAAAAGCACGCACCCTATCATGTGCAATATGTACGTACGAGCATGAAACTGAAGCGTCTCCATACTGGCATCTTCTGGTATGTCGCCCTGAAATGTCTGACGAAGCCACGATAGCTTCATCGCACCACTCCTCAAGTCGGGAACCTAGCCAAGAAACCTAGCACATACCTCAGGCCAACTATGATCATCGGTGCCCGTAACTACCGGTCCATCGATCCGGAGCCTAAGTATGACGGCCACGTCCTGTAAGGTGATAGTGTACTCCCCTATATGCATGTGAAAGATGTTGGTCTCTGGCCTCCACCTCTCAATCAGTGTAGTGATAAGCGGCCAATCAAGCCTAATATATCGGACCGTCGAACACTCCCGGAAACCGGCCTGAGCGATCAGCTCTAGTACTCTCGCATTCTCAATGACCCAAGCCGAATGACTCTGTGAATGCTCGATCATGGTGACGTCTGGTATGGGCTGCACGTCAAAAAGAATTGATTATGTATATTGAGAAAAATAAAAAATTAGTGCAAATGCTAAGGAATATATATAATAGATGTTTTACCTGTCCTGAGCCAATATGGTCTGAACAGTGGCTCGCCTGGAGGGTCAAAACGTTGGGGCATTGTAGGCGTCAAAAAAATGCTGAAAGATATCCGAATACAGCTCAAAAAGGCAGAAGAACACAAGTATAGGCTGTCTCGCACGCGAGACAGTCTTTACTGTCTCGCACGCGAGACAGTATTCTCTGTCTCGCCATGCGAGACAGTGTTCTCTGTCTCGCCAGGCGAGACAGTTGTTACTGTCTCGCAGGCGAGACAGTGTTCTCTGTCTCGCCATGTGAGACAGTATTCTCTGTCTCGCCCACGAGACAGTTCTCAAAGGCTCAGAAGTTGTTTTATAAACCGCTGACACGTGGCCACCAACTGTTCAAGAACGTGAGAAACGTCGTGGGCGAAAATCACGTGGATAACTGCCAAAATAACGGAGTTTGAAACGTGGGAAGACGGTTAAAACGAAAACTGCCTAACAGTTACTATTTCCGAGACAGCGTTTACTGTCTCGCGGGCCGAGACAACAAACACTATCTCGCCCGCCGAGACAGCAAACACTGTCTCGACAGCCGAGACAGCAAATGCTGTCTCGCGAGCCTGTTTTCCGCCAACTGTTCCTAGGGGCTATAAATACCCTCGAAGGCCAATTTTTGAGGAGGTGGATCGTTTTGAGCACTTCAGAGCAGATAGAGCAGAGTTCTTGAGCTTCCGGCAATCCCTTGATATTCGAGCTTTGACTTGATTTCAAGAAGAACGACTATTTTACTTTGATAAGATATCGTTTCAAATTCTCACTTCGATAAACGAAGGAAGAATCATTAAACCCCTCACGATTCAATCAGAATCTGTGATTTGGTGGTCCACGAGTCAAAGCGCTCCCGGCACAGGCAAAGTCCCACAAAAACAGGATTCGATAAACGATTTCTGTGTTTGTTTCTCAAGAGTTGTAATTTTTCCTTTTGTTGTGTAAAAGGAGTCTTATAAAAAGGCTATCTCTTTTTTGAATTCATTGTAATCGACCGAAGATATAATGAATTCCATGACAAAACTAACTTTTGACGCAAATAAACTGGCGACCACAGTGGGAGCCAACGGTCTCGCTGCCGAGACCGTCGTGTCGCAGTCGTGCCGCAGCCGATCAAGATTCTAGTTGAATCCATGGTCGAATACGAATTCGACCAAACCAAGTTTGAGGAATATCTCTCATCATCCTCTTCAAGATCTTCATTGTCTCGCAAGTACAAGAGGATCTCACAATTGAGGAAGACTTACATGCCAAAGAAGGCACAAAATGAAGACTCTTGCTTGATTGTTGCTGAGGATTTCACTCACAATACCTCTGCTCACAATGGCTCTTATCTAGTTAAAGAGTTATCGAATCAAAGTCCGCCGGCATTAACGAAAAGAGCTCGTCAGAGACAACGCCAACGCCGCGCTCGCCAAATGGCTAAGGCCTTGGAACAAACCGACGGGGTTCGTTATCACGCGGACCTAGAGTCGAGGAGACATCGAGTGGTTCAGTTGTCTCAACGGCAAAATAATCACATTTCTGCACAACTTACGACGGAGGAGTGGACTCTCGTCAAAAGGGCCCGTTCAACCCTTAAGGAACGGATACAAAGGCGTAAAGCATCATGCCAACAGACGATACGATTTTTTGGCAATCATACCGATGAATCGTATTATCAAGTTAGGGTTGTGAATAATTTCCGAAAGAGAGTTATTCGAGAGATAAACTCTCGTTGTTCCTGTGCGCGACTCGTTGAAGCAGCATTATCAGAATGTGACTGTTTCAAACGAGGAGCCATCCCACGAAGAGTCTCTGTATCGTCGAAGCCTAAGCCGAGACATTTCCGCGAGAGAAAATCAGCTGCCCAAGATGATGAATTCCCTGAAGTCACCATCAATGTGGCTGATAAAAGAAAGTCTAAGCGGCATTCAAGTGACTCAAATCCCGACTTTTCTCCGAGAGGAAAAGTCAATCTAAGAATTGCTCAAAGGATGTCTCGACTCCAATTAGGAGCCATCAGACGCAGAGATTACAAAAGAATGTAAGAAGGAATGTCCTCGAAGGATGAATTCTCAGACACTTGTTCAGCCATTGCTTCTGATGATACAATATCTAGCACGGGACAAACCAAAGAAGTGTTCACAATCACTTCTGATCAATTTGCTCAAATGCTTCAAGAAGCTCTATCGAAGCAACGTGAAGAAATTAGAGCTGAGATGAAGATAGATATGGAGTTAGCTATCCAACAAATGAGAGAATTACTAACTCAACAACCTCAACCACCTGAGTCCAGTCAGCGAGCTGAATCCAGCCGCCACACTCGGAATATTGTAGATGACAGTGATCCAGAAGTGAATGGAGTCATTATGGCTGATACACCTCCCAATAGCAATAACGCTGTGGGTGGTTTAGCACATCCTCCCAATAACAATATTGGGGGTGGTTTAATGGCACCTCTTACAGGGGGTGGTCTAACTCATTCTCCTCAACGTCCTTCGAATGAAGACATAGGCGATGACGAGAAAATGAAAGAGCTTGAAAACAAAGTCAATGCTTTGATGACGGCTCAAGAGGTTAAGAAGACGGGTATTTCATGTCCCTATCCAAGGGAATGAGATTCAATACCGTACCCGACGAAGTTCAATCTGATTAACTTCACACCGTTTGAGGGGAAGAGTTCGCCGATTCAGCACTTGATTTATTTCAAGTCTCATTTGGGCATGATCTCTGGAAACGAGGCTTTAATGGTCCGGTCATTCGTTGGCACCCTTCGTGGGCCCGCCTTCGATTGGTACCGACGGCTCAAGCCAGGGAGCATCAATTGCTGGAATGACATGGAAAGTTTATTCCTCAATAACTTCTTCGATGATGACACCGAAGTGTCGATTGGAACCCTTCTAGATGAGAAGCAAAAAGACGGAGAGTCAGTCGACGATTTTGTCAAGCGTTTCCGTGGCAAAGCAATGAATTAAAGACGGAGAGTCAGTCGACGATTTTGTCAAGCGTTTCCGTGGCAAAGCAATGAATTGCAGAGATCCTGTTACAGAATAGTTCATCCTGCAAACATGCCATAATAATCTCTCCATCGATGTCTTGGAAGCCCTGGGGGTCGTACCATCCACCACTTGGAAAGAGTTAAAACTACGTGGTGAACAAGCTGAACACTTTCTTAAAAGAAAGAAAGTTGAGAGAGGTCAACCGACGACATCCACAATTCCTGTGAACGCAACTCTCGATCCGAGGTTCCAAAAGGAGTATTCTTTCGAAGACGATGAAGCTCCAGCCATATTGGAATACCTCCTCGCCAATGATAAAATCGAGCTACCGCCTATTAAAGATCAGGAGGGTGCTAAGATGATTACAGATCCAAACTACTGTGCATACCACAGAAGTGTTCTTCATCCCACCAATATTTGCTTTGGACTCAAAAACAAAATCCAAGCCCTAATTGACACCGGCGTCATAATGGCGAAACCAAACCTTGGTTGAAGCCGGCGTTATATCGCTTAATTAAGTCGAATGAAGTCTCCGACAAGTATAAAGTATAAACTGCTTCTCTATCTCACTCCAAAGAGTATATGAGTATAAACTGCTTCTCGGTCATCCAACTAAGTACAATGTTAAACCCGGTTTCGCAAAGGAAGCTGGGGGTGGATGATTTATGTAACGGGGAGTTCCTGGAGAATCTTATATTCTTAAGGATAACCCGAACATGCGACTGAGGATAATGTATTCCTCGTTACACCTAATTTTGCAAAGAAAGCTGGGGGTGGATAATTCATGTAACGGGAAGTTCCCGGAAGAATGCTATATGTAATTTTCTTAGGGATAACCCGATCATTACAAACAAAGTGATAAACACTACATCCCCACGGTGATTTACGAATACTCTTTTGCTGAGGTAAGATTCGATCATTTCGTTGGATCAATCTTCCCTCACAAAACTCTCTCATGGTCAAACCTTTAAACAGTTAGGACCAAAGCCAAAATCCCCTCTCGATTCCTTCCATGAACGAGAGGTCCACTCAAATTGAACTCAAACCTTTTAAACAGTCAAGATCGCCTAAAAACTCCCATTTGGTCAAACCTTAACCAAAATCCCCTTTCGATTCAGTTCATGAACGAGAGGTCCACTTTTAGTTGAATAATCAAACCTTATGACAGTCAGGATTATTCAAACCAGTCCAGATCCTTTAAGTGGAGATCCCACTTTGAGTTTCTTTTACACCAGGAGATAGAATATAAAATTCTTCCTCTCCATCATAGGGTTTATCTCTACCAACAAACAAGAGACCAGGAGATAGAATATAAAATTCTTCTTCTCCATCATCGGGTTTATCTCTACCAACAAACAAGAGACCAGGAGATAGAATATAAAATTCTTCCTCTCCATCATAGGGTTTATCTCTACCAACAAACAAGAGACCAGAAGATAGAATATAAAATTCTTCCTCTCCATCATCGGGTTTATCTCTACCAACAAACAAGAGATCAGGAGATAGAATATAAAATTCTTCCTCTCCATCATCGGGTTCATCTCTACCAATAAACAAGAGACCAGGAGATAGAATATAAAATTCTTCCTCTCCATCATCGGGTTCATCTCTACCAACAAAAAAGAGACCTGATTAACTCCCAACGGGTATATGAGGTTAAACTATTTCCTGAATACTCCAATGGGTACACGAGTCTAAACTGTTTTCCTACATTCGACGGGAAGTTTCTGGAGAATATTACTCTTGATATTCTTAAGGATAACCTGACGAACTTTCGAGAGACAAACGAGCGTCAATCTGGAAATACCAACTTCAATTCAAGACTTCGACAACGGTCACGGGATAAGCGCAGCACCGGAAAAATTCTAGCTATTCTACAAAGCACTGAATAGGCTAGAAGATGAAGAAGTCAAAAGTTGAAGCCATTTATGGATCCTTCCGTACGATCTACTCAATCAAGCATTGAAGGGATTACAGATAAGATCTACCTTATCCAAAGTATCCCAGACTCCTCTATAAAAGAATGAGTCTGGAATACTTTGGAGGGGGTATCTGTAGGCGTTCAAAAAATGCTGAAAGATATCCGAATACAGCTCAAAAAGGCAGAAGAACACAAGTATAGGCTGTCTCGCACGTGAGACAGTCTTTACTGTCTCGCACGCGAGACAGTCTTTATTGTCTCGCACGCGAGACAGTCTTTACTGTCTCGCAGGCGAGACAGTATTCTCTGTCTCGCCATGCGAGACAGTGTTCTCTGTCTCGCCAGGCGAGACAGTTGTTACTGTCTCGCAGGCGAGACAGTGTTCTCTGTCTCGCCATGCGAGACAGTATTCTCTGTCTCGCCCACGAGACAGTTCTCAAAGGCTCAGAAGTTGTTTTATAAACTGCCGACACGTGGCCACCAACTGTTCAAGAACGTGGGAAACGTCGTGGGCAAAAATCACGTGGATAACTGCCAAAGTAACGGAGTTTAAAACGTGGGAAGACAGTTAAAACGAAAACTACCTGACGGTTACTGTTTCCGAGACAGCGTTTACTGTCTCGCGGGCCGAGACAGTAAACACTGTCTCGCCCGCCGAGACAGCAAATGCTGTCTCGCGAACCTGTTTTCTGCCAACTGTTCCTAGAGGCTATATATACTCCCCGAAGGCCATTTTTTCAGAGGGGCTGATTGAGATCGTTTTTTGAGGGGGGCTGATCCTTTTGAGCACTTCAGAGCAGACAGAGCAGAGTTCTTGAGCTTCCGGCAATCCCTTGATATTCGAGCTTTGACTTGATTTCAAGAAGAACGACTATCTTACTTTGATAAGATATCGTTTCAAATTCTCACTTCGATAAACGAAGGAAGAATCATTAAACCCCTCACGATTCAATCAGAATCTGTGATTTGGTGGTCCACGAGTCAAAGCGCTCCCTGCACAGGCAAAGATCCCACGCAAGCAGCGATCCAAACAACGATCCTGCATTTGTTTCTCAAGAGTTGTAATTTTTCCTTTTGTTGTGTAAAAGGAGTCTTATAAAAAAGCTATCTCTTTTTTGAATTCGTTGTAATCGACCGAAGATATAATGAATTCCATGACAAAACCAACTTTTGACGCAAACAGGCATATCGGTCCCGGATCCATAATGAATATAACTGAGAATAATATTAGAAGACAATGTATAATGTGTTAGATTTTTCTGTTGAAATACTGACTTAGTTATATGTAAACAACAAACGAATAGAGCAATGTGAAGAAAGCAATAACTTAAAACCAAACATTAAATTTATATAACATAGTACGAAACACTACAACTGACATAGGGAAACACACACAGAACGAAACCGCTACAAATTACAATCACAAATGACATACGGGAACATAAACGCATAACGAAACCGCTACAAATTACAACATCAACGCCTAATATTAGCTGGACAAGAATTTTTGTTATGGCCCGGTTGATCGCATCTACTACACTTATTTCTCCTCCTAACTCCTTCACGGCCGTCATCCATACAATTTCTAATTTGTACGCTACGAGGGCGCCCCGCCGACCTTTTATACAAAGGAGGTAATATCCATGGCCCGTCTTGTGTCCAATGTTGACTATCATATGGTGGACGAAAACACTCTTTGTACGTTTGTTGATAGTTGTAAGTAGAATACCAAGCCGCGATGAACTCATAATGTAAAATCATCGCACCACCCTGTAGATCAGAACAAGTCGCGACAACATGTGAATAAGGAATCCATTGTAATTGCGGTACATTGCAAGTGCACGTACATGTGTGATCCACTAACATGTTAACTTTGTAAGAGCAATTTTCTCTATGTGATATTCCCTCAATAACCTCCCATTCATTAAAACTGTATCTTACGACATGAAAGGATCGAGCTTGCACAATCCGAGCCGCTAGCATTTCATCAACCTTCGGTGTGAGCTCTGAGCGGATATTTTCACCAAGTACGCGACGTCGTAGAAAGAAGTTGTTAAGTCTGTAAAATGTTTTAGCAACTAGAGATTGTATTGGCATACCGCGTGATCCCCTGAGCACGCCATTGAAACTCTCAGAAGCGTTCGTAGTCATCATACAGAAGCGTCTCCCGCCATCTTCACATAAAGCCCACTTATCAACATTGTGTGGTACCAAACTAGTTTTGATCCAATCATGTGCAGCTCGAGAATTGAACTTAATTCTCTCTCGTATTTGGTCATAAACTAATTTTTCTGTTGCACAGCCGACTTGCCAAAGAAGATCTTGAACCTGACCGTTTTCATATTTCTTCTTGAAGTTGTCCCTAATATGTTGCAAGCAATAACGATGTGCCTATGATGACGGGAAATGTCGTTGGAGTGCTCTTGGAATTCCTTTCATCCTATCAGATATGAATGTAATCGGCCGCGCCCCCACACTAGGGATATGATATCGTATGCATGCAAAAAACCACACCCAGTTCTCTGTGTTTTCAACATCAACCACTGCAAACGCCAAAGGAAACAAACCGCCATCCGCATCAACTCCGGTGGTAACAAGTAAAGCGCCTTTGTAATTGCCGTATAAGTGGGTGCCATCAATGCTAAGGAGAGGACCATAATATTGGAAACCCTCAATACAATGCCCAAATGCCCAAAATACACCTGTGAATCGTCATTATTCGCCATCAAGAGGGTCTAATGAAACTTCATATACAGTGCCAGTATTTTCTCTTTTGAGTGCTTCAAGATAATGCGGTAAGATCTCATAAGATTTGTCCCAATCCCCAAATATTTTTATCATTGCCTTCCTCCTAGCATTCCAACACTTATTGTATGATACATCCAAGTTGATTGCTTTATGCACTAAAAGACGAATATCTTTTGACCGTAGATAAAGATCTCCCTTAGATGCGGTAAAATCAATCAATATATAAAAGAAGAGGACGTGTTTTTGTTATTCATCTCTAATCGAGGATTGCTACATGTATGGACGCCGTTGTACGCCGTGATTTTGAAATGCCCACCTACTCTTACACCCGAACGTGAATTAAGCTTCCAAGGACAATTCGCATTCCCGTCGTAGTGTCCACCAAGATCCTCGTCTTCACAATCTTTGCGATATAAACAAACCATATTATAGCTTGTTGTGTTATTTTTGGTTGGCCTAAACTTGACATTTTTTGCAATGGCATAAGAGCGAAGCGCATGGATCAATTTCTCCTTAGTATCATAAAGATCTTCCTTCATGAATGAGAAGTCCTCACCCTGTGTATCATGACCACTATTAGTGCCAATAGGAACACTTTCCATCACAGAGTTATCAATCTATTCTTCTCCTTGAAGTTCATCGGGCGGAGGATCCTCTAAGACGACATACTCATTATTAGCATAACACCCGTCAATGTGGTGGTTGTCCCCTTCATCACGATCAATCAAGGTCATGCTATTAATTTGTAAGCCCTCCTCTTCATCATCATTCTCAGATTCAACACTTGCATTGTCTTCTTCAACTCCTGTGTTAGTATCGAAAGCATTCGAAGTGCCCACGAACGAAGGACCGCTCATATATTGTGATTGTGTCCAACCTTCATTTTGTTGAGGGGATAAAAAGCCAACGGAATCAACATCAGGGTCCTCCAACATGCGGGAGTACATTCTGTCATAATTCAACGATTTGCTCATATTCCGTTGATGTTTTTCAATGAACAATTCGATCGAACGCTTCTCGTCATGTAAGACTCCAATGAGACCCATATCGTAGTCACTTGATATTTGAATGCCGCTTGTTCTATTATCCACAACAGGATAATTGCAAATAACATTGAGGTGATACTCACGTGAGTTGGTTAATGTAAGTTTGTGTAATTCATTAACCAACTCATCGAAAGTACACGATTTTGTTATAAACAACGGTCTCGTCGCACCTCCTTCATAAACGGGCATATTATTGTCGAGGTAGTTAATCTTCCCATCATAAGAACAAAGAATTACGATTCGATCGTTCATCGTTACCTCTGAAGAGTAAAAAATTCAAAAAAATATTAATGGAAAAGACTTTAAAAATTGACAATGAAATTATTTTACACTTTTTATAATTTTTACATATGTCATTCATTATGAACAAAGAATTACCGATGTCATACATATGTAGTAACACTAATTTTCATTATAGATATTTTCACCTCTAATTGACAATGAAATTCATTATAGATATTTTCACCTCTAATTCATAAATAATTCACAATGAAATTCTAAAATCTAATTTTTTACAATGAAATTCATTGTGAATAATTCAAAAAACTCATAAATAATTTTACCTATAATTAACAATGAAATTCATTATAGATAATTTCACCTCTAATTCACAATGAAATTCTAAAATCTAATTTTTTACAATGAAATTCATTGTGAATAATTCACAAAAATCTTAAATAATTTCACTTATAATTCACAATGAAATTCATTATAGATATTTTCACCTCTAATTCACAATGAAATTCACAATGAAATTCTAAAATCTAATTTTTTTTACAATGAAATTCATTGTGAATAATTCACAAAATTCATAAATAATTTCACCTATAATTCACAATGAAATTCATTATAGATAATTTCACCTGTAATTCACAATGAAATTCTAAAATCTAATTTTTTACAATGAAATTCATTGTGAATAATTCAAAAATTCATAAATAATTTCACCTATAATTCACAATGAAATTCATTATAGATATTTTCACCTCTAATTCACAATAAAATTCTAAAATTTTTTTGGAGGATTTTACCTTAAAACTGTCGAACTCCGGCGACAACAGCGGTTGGAAATGGGGGGAAGCGGTCGGATTTGGGGGGAGGGGGATCTGAGCGAACGCGCGCTTATATAGCGAGGGCCACAGCTTCACGGGAGTTGAACTCCCGTGAAGTTGCAGTCAAATTTCCCAGAGAGCGATTCTCTAGGAAATTTGGCCTGTAACTCCACGGGAGTTGAACTCCCGTGGAGTTTTTAACACCAAACAGAATTTACTCGTAAATCTTCACGGGAGTTCAACTCCCGTGAAGATTTATAAAGAAATTAAACTTCACGGGAGTTGAACTTCCGTAAAGTTAAAAAACATACTAAACTTCACGGGAGTTGAACTCCCGTGAAGTTTCGTAAATTTTTTTTCAAAAACCGACCTGGTTTCAGCAACAGTGCTGAAACCAGATCGGTTTTTAAATTTTTTTCAGAATGGGATTGTTTTTTGCAAATAAATTCGTAATGGGGGTGGTTATGAAAATTTGACCGCTTTTGTTTTTGTTGAACTTAAAGGAACCCGTGCTTTGCTTGGGCGTTCAAACTAGTAATAGAATAAATAAAACTCAAAACCATTCAAATTTCGTTTATTTATTTTCATATTCCCGCCTCGTTTTCTGATGTTAGTTATGTTACATTGTGGGTCCCAACGACTTAACCAAGCCAGGGAAGCAGCGACCCACGACAGGTTAACCCGGAATTAAAAATAACGAAAAAGATTTTTGGCTCGCGGGTGAACCGCGAGCCACCCAACTCGCAGAGTTGGGTACAGGGGCAGTGGGCCCCACAGCTGGGGCCCACTGCCCCTGTACCCCCCTCTGCGAGTTGAGGTGTGCCTGCTCCTCTAAAAATAATAACCCCACCCCCACCCAACCCAAGATAGTTGGGGTTAATTATAAAAAAAATCCCCAAACCTCGGCCATTTCATTTCCCGATCTCTCTCGATCGACTCCTTCTTCCTCAAGTCTTCGTCTTCCTCATGCGATCCCACGTCTAATGGCCCCCTCCAAGAAATCGATCGAAAAAGAAAGGAAGAAAGGTAAACACTCCGATCTGAAGCTGCAGTGCAATATTTGCCTTTTCAAGGCGTCGAGCACTGGAGCCATGGCTGAGCACGAGGCAGCCGGACACACCTCCACCCTCTCCAACAACACACTGCGATTCCTCAAGATCGACAGCGATCGGCCATCAACGAGAGGCTCGCTGAATTTGGCTTAGGGATCTCCTCTGACGAGGAGGAGGAGGACTGATTTAAGGTGAAATCTCGTTTCCCTCTACCCGATTAGGGTTCTTGATACAATTTTCGGCGCTTTTTCCTCAGATACTTGATTCTGTAACATCGATCGGGGTTTTGTTTAGGGTTAGGGTTAGGGTTAGGCTTAGGGCTAGGGTTAGGGTTTAGGTTAGTCCACTGATGTTCTTTTGAACTAAATCTAATTGTAGAATTGGTTTTATATATCAATTTATGAATGTATCGTTCATGTGGAAGTTAAGTATACTCAAATATTACCATTTTCTCCAATGAAATTTAGCCGTGTCCATATCATAATGTTCAGAATGCCATGTCAATGTGATATGTGGGTGAACAGAATAGAACATGGAGGTTTGCCTTAGTAAATATGAGATTAGTTCAGCAAGTTTCCCCAAACCTATATGCGGCAGTGATTTATCAGTTACCTAAACCCAACACTCTATAAACTATTATGCATCTGTTAACCGTAAAAAAGACTATATTACTAGTAATTCATGGTGGCAGTTATACCCCCTGCAAAATTAGTATCTATTTGCCAAGATAAATTACAGTACTAAGTTCAGAACAGGGATACTACAGGACAGGAGCCTATGTGCAATTAGCCCATTTCTCTAAGCATACAGATTTGTGTCAAAAATGTGCGCGTTTACATGTTTATACATTATCGTTTCTGCATCAGGAACAATTCCAGAATTCTTGTCTACCAAATTTTAGCAAATAAAATTCAGTCTATATGTTAAAAAGAAAATAGACAATGAGAATGCAGGTTATGCGTTATAAACAAAATGGCCCTGATCAAGTGCAACACCAAGCCCAAGGTACAATGTCAAATGAAAACAGTGCAAGTTGAGTCCAATCACATTGACATGGCATTCTGAACATTATGATATGGACATGGCTAAATTTCATTGGAGAAAATGGTAATATTTGAGTATACTTAACTTCCACATGAACGATACATTCATAAATTGATATGTAAAACCAATTCTACAATTAGATTTAGCTCAAAAGAACATCAGTGGACTAACCTAAACCCTAACCCTAGCCCTAAGCCTAACCGTAAACAAAACCCCAATCGATGTTACAGAATCAAGTCTCTGAGGAAAAAGCGCCGAAAATTGTATCAAGAACCCTAATCGAGTAGAGGGAAACGAGATGTCACCTTAAATCAGTCCTCCTCCTCCTTGGAGGAGGAGATCCCCAAGCCAAACTCAGCGAGCCTCTCGTTGATGGCCGATCGCTGTCGATCTTGAGGAATCGCAGTGTGTCGTTGGAGAGGGTGGAGGTGTGTCCGGCTGCCTCGTGCTCAGCCATGGCTCCAGTGCTCGACGCCTTGAAAAGGCAAGTGTTGCACTGCAGCTTCAGATCGGAGTGTTTGCCTTTCTTTTTCGATTTCTTAGGGCCCTAGGTTGTGCACAACACAGCTTGTTTACTCATTTCTCTATTGATAAAGTTTATAAAAATACATCATCACTTTAAGATAAATTTTCATCCATTTGTTTCACTTATAAACAGTGACATGGGATTTGCTTCGCACATTGGTTCTCCGTGCATGATTTCTAACCTTTGTGATTGTTAGCTCAACTAAGCTCAAGATCCTTGACTCACCCGGTTCAAGATCCTCGAATCGCTCCTTCTAATGGCCGCTTCCTCTTCTTTTACTCAATCTTCATCTTCTTCTTCCTCATTAGGTGCATTGGTCGCATACCTCGCCTATTCTTTCAGGGTATGATAGGGGACTTATTAAGGCTAGCATCAGTTATATATAGGTCATTGGTGTAAGTTGAAACCCCACTTTTTGCTTCAATATATTTTTTTGTTTGAGATTTTGAGTGTGATATGTTAATTTTGTGATTTTAGGAGAAAGTGAAGGTATCGGGTGTTCGTAGGCATTGTATTAATCTGGTGGTGGCTTATGTAACTCTGTGGAATGGTTTGTTCTGATTTTAGTGTTTTTTTTTTAAATTAATCAACCATTTAAGTGGTTTTGTAGTATGAAGCTTGTCTTAGCTTAAAACGAAAGGGAAAAAAGTATTATTTATCTGAAATTGATTAGGTTAGAGTGTATAAGATTTTTCAGGTAGCAGTAGATATGGATGTGATCTCAACGAAATAGTTTTATGTATAAAACTAACATAGTTGCAATAAGTAAACAGATACACTCACTAACAGAACAGTTATCATAGTGGTTATGAAGGAACTCAGTTTCTGCTAAGTTATTAAATAAGAATCCATGTTTCTAATATGAGTTATTTTTGGTATATTAATATAGAAACAAACTAGCCATCATCCTTCTTGCTCAGATAGTCTAAATTACGTGGTACTTTAATGGTCATTGGCTTACATATATTTGTCCTTAATATTATCTCCCTTCTGAGCTTGACAAAATTCCTCAGTTGTTTTATTAATATTAATGGCTTTTATATTATTCTTCCTAGTAAGTTATATCCTCCTTCACATTCTCTACCACTTTTTCTTGAATTGACTTCTACCTCCTATCAAATTTGGTTGCCCTTGCTTGAAATATAAACAGATTGATAATTATAACTAATAGATTTGTGGGAGTAAGAAATCAAAAATGAAATTATGGTAGAAAGTTTGGCATATTCTACATTTAAATGAATTAATTGGAGTCTTCCCCCGCCACTAAGTATTCATGTATTGACAATTTCTTTGTTATAATAGCAACAAAACAAACTCTATTGATGGTTCACAGCCACCCAGATGAGTTTATCTAAAAACATAACATGTCACGTTTGCATGTTTGTTAGATTTCCTTATGAAAATTGTGCAAGAGAGGTATATGAATTAATCTTTACTGCAAGAACCTTAAGATTTCAGGCAGCTGTTTGGTGAGCATAAACTCCATAAGACTTTCCCCCTCTCTACCATTTAGCAAACATGAAACATATGACATGACATCCATGAGAAGAATTGAACCTCTGTCAATTTTTAGGCCCAAGGTTAATTATCTGGTTAGTTTTTGTGCACACTTTTTGTTTATAATAATGTGTTATTTATGATTGTTCTTGTTCTTCATGGTATCTCAAGATTCCAAGTTATTCAAATCAATCCATCAAAAATGATCTGTTTAAGGCAATGGACTTTTTGTGAATGTCTAAGCTTATGATTTTATAATGGTTTACTATTCATTAGATTCATATGCATTCATATAGTCTACTTCTTCCCTTTTCAATATTTATAGGATAATCAGTTTAGATGTTGTCCTTTCAACCGGTTTCTAGGTTATCCTGAGTGAAGGTTTTAAAGTTTCCTTTTCCCCATTTTCTTCTTTGCTCCTAGTGTATGTTCACGTGCCCTGATCTGCTCTAATTCATCTGTTCACTTCAAGAACTTGAATGGTAAACAATACACACGACCTAGACCTTGAAATGGTAAACTAATATGAGGTCATCAATAAACCTGTAGTGATGTTCCTAAGCTTAATCTCCACTATGTTTTGCAAAGTGATATGCTCATTACACGTTGAGAATTCAGAATTTGCGTAAAAATATGAATGCATATGTAAACACGTGAGAGGGGTGAGCTCGGAAGACGGTGATTCAAATTAATCCATTGTGAGACCAGCTTACCAATTTGGAGATCTCATCTCGACAAGTTCCTAATTTATCTTAAATGAAGCTCTCAAGATTTCCTTTTCGGCATGTCAATTATCTATTTGGCATTGGGTGATCCTGAATAATGTTTTCACTTGAGTTGTGCTGCGCTAGGAACTTACAAAATGCCATGAATGTTGTTATTCCTTTTTGGGTAGGTTTGGTACTGCTTGGATATTTGAATCATTGACAGATTATAATGGTCTCAGTATCTATTAGTTAAACCAAGAATATCAGTTTTCTGGACACCATAGGTTTAAGGTCTTAATATGAATTAGTTGGTTTCCATCATTCATAGAATACTCTTTTTCACTTTTTTCCTCTCTCTATTTTTAGGTTAAATCATTATAAGACATCTCCTTTCATCAAGTTTCCAAGTTATCCCGAATGACGGCTTAAGGTTTCCTTTTTCTGAGAGAATTGTCATAATGGGTGTCGACCTCGTGGTCACTGCCAATGTTGCTCCCATTTTCTTTCTTTTTTAATATTTTTATTTTCTTGTGTTTGAGAATTTTTTCTTAAGGTTTCCTTTTTATTGTTCTTGTTATCATCATCTTTCCTCCTAATCTTCTCTAATTCATCGCTTGGCTACTTAGATTTGAATGGTAAGCTACAAACATGAACTTGACCTGTTATAATTGAACAGGTCAAGTGATGGGACCACAGAGTTTATTTCGTTCTTTTTGAACACTGTGCTAAATATATTTCAGTAGCATTATTCTTGCAAATATTGTCGTGACATGAGTCATGACCTAGTCAATTGGATTTACATATGATGTCTGGCTTGCATGCTGCTAGTCATTCTCTACAGGACTGAGGATACGAAACATTAGTAATTCAAATTAATCCATTAAAAGTGGTCCGTTTAAGGCAATATACTTTGTTGTAGATGTCTGAGCAACTTTAAAATGGTTTATTATCCATTAGTTTCATACACATTCATATTGTCTCCTTGTTCCCTTTTTGTCCCACCTCAATTAGTAGGAAAATCAGTTTAGACGTTGTCCTCTCAACCAGTTTCTAGGTTATCCTGAATGAAGGTTTTGAAGTTTCCTTTTCCCCATATTCTTCTTTGCTCCTAGTATTTTCACTTGGCCTGATCTGCTCTAATACATCGATTCGCTTTGAGAATTTGACAGTTCGCTCCAATAATTTGAATGGTAAATAAGAGACACGGACTTGGCCTTGAAACTTATAGTCGAACAGGAAGACAGGAACAAAATCCAAATACTTGACCTTTATTATACCAACATTCTGATATGGAACATACACGGCAAAGCATTGCTATGAATGGCTTGGTCAACGGGGACGTTGTCCTCTAAACAAGTTTTTAGGCTATTCTGAATGAAGGTTTTAAAGTTTCCTTTTCCCCATATTCTTCTTTGGTCATTGTGTATTTTCACTTGTCCTGATCAGCTCTAATTCATCGGTTCACTTAAAGAATTTGAACGGTAAATGAGATACATGAACTTGGCCTTGAAACTTATAGTTGAACAGGAGACGGGGACAAAGTCCAAAGACATGACCTTTACTATAGCAACATTTTGATACGGAACATATATTTGCCTACATTATGCTGCACAATATTGCGTTGAATGACCTGGTCAGTGGGTTTTACTGCTGATTTATGCTGGAATACCTTTTTTCTGGGGGTTTTTTTGTTCAATGGAGGGGCAACAGATTTCAAGCAAATACCTGCATATATTTAGTCAGTGCAATCACTAGAAGAACCTGATGCATCCAATGCTGATAGTTTTAGTTTGGGGTAATCTAATCACATGAAGACATTCGATAACTGGTCATTGATATTCTTCTACACTCATGGTGTAGTGTATGATCTATGTAGCAAAAGCCATATGTCAGGTTTATGTGGTTGTTGTTCTTAAGCTGTGTTCTATCTCTTTCTTGGTTAATTTATAGGAGTTTCTTAATTCATCTTTGTAAAGAATAAAAAAATTGGAGATACGAAAGGAATTTCTTGTGACTATGGTCAGATATATGGTATCTTCACTTGATGGACTTATTTCGTTGGTTTTCAGAGTGTAAAATTGCAGTTTTCAACACCTCAACACTCAGGAGTTTTGGCGAATTGAGAAGGCCCTTAAAATGATATAAGAATAACTAGGTTCACATTAAAACAGAATATACCATTGTGTGGGTCAAGATTTGGACATCTGAAAAATATGCTAAACCCGAGGAATTGTGTTATATTGTATTACAACTCCCAATGCTCACCACAACTTCCGAGTTACTGGTGAGTTTGGGTGTAGTGGAAGGACTTAGGGGCTGTTTGGTTCATGTTTTTTAGGTGGTAAAAGAGGGGAAAGCTGCCAAAAATATCAGCTTTTTGGCAGCTTTCTCCCAAAATCAGCTCTTAAAAAGCAGATTTTGGTGGAAAGCTGCCAAAAAGCTGACATTTTTGGCAGCTTTCCCTTCTTTTACCACAAAAAAAAACTAATCCAAACAGCCCCTTACTGGCCTTCACTGTACTAGCAATAATTGCAGCTCTAGATCACCAAGTATAATGGTTATATTTCTTTTTTTGAACACTGTTTTTTTTCTTTTTCCCACAGACATATTTTACAGTTTCTAGTAACTGATCACAAGTGGGCCTATTTGATTAGAGTTATTTTGCCTGGCCATGGGTAATTGTTTTGCTTTCTACCGTATTTATAATGTTGTCCTGATTTCTACCCTATTTATAATGTGTTTGGTTCTGTTGACCTATGTAGTTAACTGGATAAGGTTTGCTTGCTCTGTCCATGGGAGCCAACATACATTCAAACTCTTCGACATTGATTTGCAGCACAATGTAAATTGGACAAGGGAATGATTGATCATTTTATTGCCCACAATCCTGTATGTTACTGATTTGTAGAACTTTGACCTCAAGAGGATTGAATATATAGCTAATAAGAACAGGTTGAGTCCACTGTAAGTTATTTTGTGCTATCATTGCCAACTAATATTAGGTCATCCATAAACATGTAGTGATGTTCCTAAGTTTATCCCTCCTAAGTTTGTGCAAAGTGATATGCTTGTTACACGTTGAGAATAGAGAGTTTGCGTAAAATATAAATGCATATGTAACAAGTGAGAGGGGTAAGCTTGGAAGACTGGCAATCCAAATTGGCCTAGGTCCCATTCCCCAAATAATACTAATGAGTAATGATCGTGTCGATTATTATGATAACAAGTATAATAATATTTGATGTAATGTGCACTGCTAGGGATCGATGCTCAACAATAACTAAAACTGGAAGAATCCAAAATGTTTCATTCTAGCATGTGATCCTAGTGAAGGTTCTACTAAAATGTAGACTAAGGAATTGAAACTAAATTACTTTATACATTATATTAGAAAGTGGACTGTAACCTGTAGGGTCACGAGACATCATTGTATGCTAAGGTTTGTTCTACTGCAATAGATAGGCTTTTGAGGATGTTAAAGCTTATGTTCAGAATGGTGTATTTTCAGTTGGTTTCATATTCATTCATCGATTTATTTTTGTTTCACTTTTATCCCGTCTGTATTTTTAGGTTAAATCACTTTTTAAGCCCTCTCTCATCAAGTCCCCATGTTATCCTGAATGAAGTTTTAAGGTTTCTTTCATTTTTGTTGTCTTCTTTTCGCCTAGTCTTCTCTAGTTCATCACTTGCTTACTTCGATTTGAAGGTAAGTGACACGTATGAACTTGACCTTGAAAGTTGTAGTTGAACAGGCAGAGATTGGGTGACAGAATTTTTTTTCCTTTCTTTTTGAACATTTCTCTGAGTTTATTTCAACTGCATTATTCACGCAAATATTGTCATGTAGTGACCTTGTTAATTGGATTACGAATGACTTCTGGTTTGCACGCCACTAATGATCCTCTACAGGAGTGAGAATATGAAAAACTTGCAATTCAATTTAATCCATCGAAAATGACCTGCTTAAGGCCATGCTAAACACTAGTTTCATGCCTAATCAAATTTTGTGAAGCAAGTGTCTTCCACTGTTTTAGTTTATGTGCCTCACCATGAAAATTTTCCCATTTTGTCAAGCCAAGATTTTAAAATTTTTCTGCATTACATTACGTACCTAATCTTAGATTTTATTGCCAATTTTAGTGCTTATTTACTTTGTATGCCTGACCATGGCTTTTCTATTGCCAAAACAAAATTGTATGATTTTGTTGACACGCTTGTGTGCATGCTTCTATTGTCAAGCCCAAATTCTAAACTGTAAAGGGGGAAGAATAAAGAAGGAAAGTTGATACAAAAAACGGTCCATAATAGTATATAAGACCTCTTGAACAATTTTTATTTTAAAAAGAGTTTTTTCCTCTGCCGAGTAGAAGTGTAGATTTATTCACGTCCAAATAGCAAGGCTCTAATAACGCCTAAGGCAAGTGTTGTAGCATGTAATGATGTTCTAATTAACCATCCATCGGTAAAATTTTGTAGATTTTTTGTACACAACCCATCTATTTTTCTCAGGGGTGAAATTGCTTGCTTTGCTTCTATAATTTTTCTAATATTTCGCTTTTAATATAATATACTTATTGTGCATTTCTTTTGTGTATTGCAGGTGTTCTATATCCGAGGTATAATTGAGCTCATCATCAGGACTACTTTCCTTGGGATATATCTTCTGATTAGTATCACTTGTTCTTTGTGTTTTCAAGTACTCTTGTCACGATGTAATATAGTAATAGACACAGTTTATGTGTGGATTTTATCTTTGCCTTTAGCTTGTGTGTAGATTGTAATCTAGTAACTACTTTGGTGCTCATATATCTCTTGGCTGTTACTTTCTTCTTTAACTGAAAAGCATGACTGTAGTATTATGGAGCTATATAACTGAGTTGTTTTAGCATCTTATCTTGTTGAAAATCTGAGTGTTTGGTCACCAGGCCTGTTTGGGTGAGTAGTGAATGGGGCCAACTGTTTTAAGGGTCTTTGTTGTAGTTATGTGTGATTGCTCTTTTACCTACTCCATTGCTGTTACGTTCCTAACATAAATCGGTTAGTGTTCAGAAATCCTCCATCTACTTCTAGTTTCTGAACCTAGAATGGTTGATGTCCTCATCTTCTCAAGAAACCTACATGAATGTTCTCGTGTGATTGCGAGGATTGTGTTGGTTAATTTCCCTTGCAATGTCATCTCTATGAAATGTGAAACGCTTTTAAAAGGAGAGAAAACTCTTCTGGGTATAAGATGTAGTTTCTGAGTAGACCAGAAGAGAGAACTCTTTGAAAGAGAGAGAAGAACGCCCGCGGACACGAGATTTAGCTGGCAAGTGTAATTTCTCCCCCCTTCTATCTGTACATAATCACTGGACGGATGGGAGAGAACGAGGTGCATATTTTGGCCACGTATTTCTCTACCATGCAGGGCACGAGACAAATTCTGGTTGTAACTTGCAAGGGAGCTTCTTACAGTACAAAGTAGTTTGCTATGTGTAACCGTGACTTATAATATAATTACGACCACTCTTAATGTGTAGCAAAAGTTTCACGATAGGATTCATGCGCATTTACTCATTTCTCTATTTATAACGTTGTAAATGAAGATTAAAAAAAAAAAATACTCATCACGATTTTAAGATAAAGTTTCATGCGATTGTTTCACCTATAAATAATGACATGGGATTTGCTTTGCACGTTGGTTCTCCATGCATGATAACTCTTCATGTGTAAACCTTGCTATGCTCTTTATTGCTAAATCTTATTATACATTTCAACAGAAGAATTGGTTCCAATATGCCGCATGGATGCACAAAAGACTGAAACTTTTAAGTTACAACTGAATATTACTGAGTTGACCTTTATTCTTCCTTGTCACCAGCCTATCAGACCCTAAGGGGGGGTTATTCATTTGGGTAATTTTTGGGATAATGAGATAATTTTTGCAACAACAATGTTTGGTGTTATTCATTGGGGTAATTGGAACTGGAGTAACATTTGTGGTGTTATTGGTTTGTTGGGATAATTATGGGACAAATACCCCACTTTCCCCCAAATTGTCCCAGCTATAAAAGCAATCCTCAGCCCCACCCTCATAATTTACCCCAATTCGTTCGCTGGAACCAAATTACCCCCTTTGAGATCCGACGCCTCCATCGAAGATCCGACGCCAAATCGCCCGCCGAGCTACTAAGGCTTTTAGTGGAGGAGGTGAAGAACGGCAACAAGATGGATAATGGCAACTTCAAGAAATATACCATCACACAAAATGTGTTGCCATTCATGAATGAACTTCAAGAAATATACCATCACACAAAATGTGTTGCCATTCATGAATGCTAAATTTGGAAGAACTTTTAAATTTGATCATGTAAAATGTGTTGCCATTCATGAATGCTAAATTTGGAAGAACTTTTAAATTTGATCATGTAAAGAATAAGATTTAAATAAGGCACTACATGCACCTTTACTCAAAATCAACGATATTGCATCACCACTGAGAGGTTTGATCGATCCCGATTTGCCGTCAATGTTTGTTTCAATAAGGCACTACAGGCCCTTGTGTCATTAGCCCCTTGTATGATGGCTCCTCCTCCTACCGATCCACCGGAAAAGGTCACATCCGAATCTCGTTTTTGGCCTTACTTCAAGGTATTAAAATTTAAATACATTATATAAGTCTTCATTCATTGTTATTATTATAATTTTAAAGTCACATTTCATATATGTTAATGGGAATATATAGGACTGTATCGGTGCTATTGACGGGACCCACATTCCATGTATAGTGTATGACAAGGACCAAACTCCATATCGTAATAGACATGGCTATCTTTCTTAAAATATCCTTGCAGCATGCACATTTGATCTTAGGTTTATTTATGTCTTAGTGGGATGGGAGGGATCTGCCAATGACTCACGGGTCTTGAAGGATGCAATGAGTAGAAGTGCATGCAGTCTTCCACTTCCAAATGGTAAATATTTTTTTTCATCAAATTGTTAGATTTTATATTTATTGATTATAATTCTAAAGAAATAGTAATGCAGGTAAATTTTATCTAGTTGATTGTGGTTATCCAAATAGGCTATAATTCTTGGCTCCCTATCGGGGTACGAGGTACCACCTTAAAGAGTTCGACCCAGCTAACAACCGTCAGCGACCACGCAATGCTCATGAGTTATTCAACCATCGACATGCATCACTTAGAAATTGTATTGAACGTATTTTTGGCATTTTTAAGTCTAGGTTTACTATTTTTAAGTCTCAACCTCCAGGTTTTCCATATGAGACTCAAAAAAGTATGATCTGGGCATGTATCGGTTTGCATAATTTTCTGAAGATGGAGAACTCCAACGATGACTTTGAAGTTTCTGATCTTCCTCCAGAGGCACCACACAATGTTGCTCCGATTGATGGTGATTCTGATGAGGACGATGACCTACAAACTCAACAAGCACAACAGATAGCTGCATCACGTTGGAGAGAACAAATGGCAAACATAATATGGGAGGATGGGACAAACGTAGCCCAAGGAGTCTAGAGCAAAGTTATATGCCGATAGATTATATTTGTAATAATTAAGATTTAAGTTAACGAGTGAGACTTTATTTGTAATAATTGAGACTTTATCATCATCATTGTAATAGATGTATGAATGATTAAATAATTGTAATAATTGAGACTTTATCATCATCATTGTAATAGATGTATGAATGATTAAATAATTATTGCAATTTAAAAATTTGTTAATATAGCATAATAGTTAAAATAAACATCAAAATATTTAAAGATTGATTAATATTAATATTATTAATATTATTATATTATTTTTAATATTTTATATTAAAATAATCTTAAAAATAATATTATTTTATATTAAAACTATTATTTACTTAATCATTTGATGTTATATCAAGTTAAACTTGAACTTAATTGAGCTATAAATATAATATTATAAAAAGATGTCATAATAATTGTCCCCCTCAAATTATCCTATTTTACCCCACTTTATCCCACTCAAATTATCCCATTGGGTAAAATTACCCCATTGGAACAATTTAACCCAATTTACCCTAATTTACCCCAATGAATAACCCCCCCTAAAGGTATCGGCTAACCTAGGTATGTATTTCTAGTTCTCTCTTTTTTTCATATGGAAGAAACTAAATAAGCTAAGAAATAAAAACCCTGTATAACCTCATGATCAATAAAAATAAAGGAGAGCTAAAGAAAATATGAACATAATTAAGAAAGAGGAGTCTACTAAGGTAACTAAACTAACTCCATACTTTCATAGCAATGCACCATTTCTTCCTTAATTTACAAATGCAATTGATGTCAGAAGTTTTCTTGCATTCAGGTTTATAAGGCTCTTGTTCACTTGCTGTAAATGTTCTAGTTTCCATCTAAATTGGTATTTTCACTAGACCTACTATGCCAGTTGTCAGAGTATATGAAGTCATAGTTCTCAATTGTCACAACGATTCCGTACTTTTGGTGTATTGCGAGAGACTTTAAGATGGTATAAGCTACCCTAGCTTCAAATTCATAATATGTGCATCCTGTCGGCGCATGTAAAATACCTTCAAGATGTGAAGACGCCTTACACGATGAAATTATACCATCAGTCTTCATCAACTCCTGAGGTTTGGTGTTGAAACATACGTTGAGGCTGACAGGTACTGTACCGACAATAGTTTAGCTCTAAATCTCATACTAAATGTATGTGATCCTCAAGTTCTTAAGGGCATTCATGTACTTAATTCTCAGATGATACGTTGCTAGCTAGTATACACGAGAAAGCGAAAGAAGCTTAAACCTTTCATTTTCTCCTCCTTACAAATTAAGCACAGCTACAGGTTTTTCGTTCAATCTTGGTTATCATGCTCAACTGCATAAAGAAAGAGAGAGATGTTTGGCATCGGATTTGTTCCATTCTTCTTTGGTTAATTTGAAGGAGTTTATTAATGAGCGTCCATCTTAATTTGCGAAGAATTAATTTCCAGGAAAATGCAAGTTTTACTTGTATCTTTTTGCAGATCAAGGGTTTGGTGTTCTGTGGTTATGAAACTATTGGCATTGTCGGAGTTTTCGTCTTTTATTTATTTATTTTTAAACTAGCTATAAATCTGTGAAAATTAACATGAATTGGCTATTGATATGTTGAAGTTCAAACTTAGCTAAAATTTAAGTTGAATGCATATCGTTGCGTAGGAGGTGAGAAGTGACTGATGTTGTATCCGGATAAAGTTTTGGCCCACTCGATACAAATTATCTTAATTTGTTATGATTTAAATTCTTATACTATAAAGAGTTATAGTGGATTTAGATAAAATCACATCTATGTGGTTTAATAAAACCCTCCAGTATTATTCGAACAAGCGTGTTAATTATTCGATGAAATAACTGAAAATGTCTTGCCTCTATAATTTTCACAAATTCTGGAATGTCACAACTTTGCCTCAAATATTTGTTTGGCAAGTATATCGTGCTTTTCTTGCACTGAAGTTTGAATAATAAATTTTGCAACCAAAAATTACAATTTATCACAAAACCATCCTAAAAGCGTGAACCACAATTTTTACTGAAAAATTATCCTGCTACATAATTTTATCCGCTCTTGTAAAAAGTCGTGGCTAAAGGGGTTATGGGTTTTTTCGCTAAAATTTTGAAGTTAAAGGAGATTTTTTAATAATACCTACTTAAGGAAGATTTTCTTATATTTTAAAGTTACGCAGGGTTCTCTAATAATAGTCCAAAGGTAGGGGGTTCTCTGACATTTTTTTAAAAGAAAAATTCTTCATTAGTGAACAGGTGAAGTGTTTCTTTCCTATTACATAATGAGCTGGTCATCATTAATGATGACCAGCTCATTATGCAATAGAAAGAGAATATCTTATATGTCCCCATGTTGATCTCATATTTTGAGTCCCGTAGCAAAGTTTTTTTCAAAAATCAAAATAGAATTGCAAACAAGAACACGGGCGTAAAACAATTGGGTGACGTTACCTTTGTTTACTTGCTCAGCTTTAGTGGACCTTCTAGTATGCAGTCCCCCGAATCCAACGGCAGGCAAAGGATCCACCTCATCCATGTCGGGCCCACGGGAGGCACATGACGCGCGCGACCTCCGAAAAGTTCTGCCGCCCCACGTGCTTCCCACGTGCCCACCCCCCATTGGGAAATCGACCACTTTGGGCCGATTATTTCTAGGGCTCTTCATCCTCGTCCCTAATTCCACCCTCTCTCTCGATCTCATTTGCCCTAATTCAGTCTCCAAGAGCGAAAGGTAACATTAAATTTTCAAATTTTTGTTTTATTTTATTTAAAAGATTTATGCTGTTATTATCTTCTACCATCTGCTGTTCTTCTAGTGACGAGATCTGAGTTCTTTTTAATTAATTCAACTGTGGAGATGTAATTGTTCTTGGATTCCGATGCATTTTGTTTAATAGATCTTTGATGTGTTGGGCGAACAACCATTTGATCAATTAGATGGGAAGAAAGATTGTTCTTTGCTTAGGTACATGTTTAGTTTTATTTGAATAAAAAAAAAGGAGGTTAGTTGTTATATTTGAATGATTTTTCTTGGGTCTTCTGTTTATCTAAAATTATCTATAATAACAGTATGCAGTTGATGAATGGTTGATTTTGATCAAATTTGGCAATCAAAGAACACAAAAGGAGTTATTTTGTATGCATAAATGTTGAATATTGTATTGAAGGAAAAAAAATCATTTATTGTGTATATTTCTCCCCTGTATGTTGTTAGCATCAGTCATGTGAAATTTGATCAGACCCAGTAGTACTTTTATATAACTAAGAAAATAATGCTGAAAAATGATTGGCAAGAACACTAAACCCAAAATCTACTAAATGCAGAACTTTCTCCCTTGGCTTGAGAACACTGACTATTTCCACTCTTTAATTCTCTATGTTGAAATTTTTAATTGCGAATAGGCCCCTTGAAGTACCACCCAAATGCAACTAGATCCTTGTAGTTCTATTTTTGCGTAGACCCCTTGAGTGAATTTTTTTTTAAATCTTTAAAAAAGGTGTGAGGAGGCGGTTAGGACCCCTACAGTTCTATTGGTGAGGATAGACCCTCAATTGCCAATTTTTCTCAAACTTTTTAAGAGTCTTAGAAGTTCATTAAAGGGGTATTCACACCTGGGACAATACTACTCAGGGTCTAGTCGCCACAAATATAGCTAGAGGAGGTCTATTCGCATTTGGCTGATATGGGGTCTGTTCGCAATTAACCTTTTTTAAATAATTCATAGCCCATACATTGAATTCCTTTGATCGACATAAAATTTTAATTTGTATACAGGTATAAAAAGAAAAGAGGAAAGATGTCTTCATCTCGAGAGGAAAATGTATACTTGGCTAAGTTGGCAGAACAGGCGGAGAGGTATGAGGAAATGGTGGAGTTCATGGAAAAAGTAGTGAAGACCGTGGAAACCGAAGAGCTCTCTGTGGAGGAGAGGAACCTTCTATCTGTTGCCTACAAGAATGTGATTGGGGCTCGCCGAGCCTCGTGGCGTATTATATCCTCCATTGAGCAGAAGGAGGAGAGCCGTGGAAATGAAGATCATGTGAACATTATCAAGGAGTATCGGGGCAAGATTGAGACAGAGCTCAGCAAGATCTGTGATGGGATCCTCAAACTTCTCGAGTCTCACCTTGTCCCATCCTCAACTGCTGCTGAGTCCAAGGTGTTTTACCTCAAGATGAAGGGTGATTACTATAGGTAAGACATCATAGAGAAACCTTACATGAATATGAAAAAGTCATGAGAATATGCCTCTATCAACTTTATCTGTGTTAATTTTGCTAATTATTTACATGATTTTCAGGTACCTTGCTGAGTTCAAAACTGGTGCTGAGAGGAAAGAGGCTGCTGAGAACACACTCTTGGCCTACAAATCTGCTCAGGTCAGTAGTTTACTACATATCGAAGATATTCCTACTTTTACTGTCATCGACCATCTATCATCAATCATTGACCCATGTATTTTATTTGTTCTTTTTGACCATATATAACTATTCCTTTAACATCCACCTTAGGATTGGTCATCTTCATTTGATGTTCTCAAGGAGCATATCTATATCTATATACATTGTCACCATTTATCTAATATGTCTTTCTTCTTTAAAAAATTTTATTTACCAAGTTTTTCTCTCGCATTTTCGTGATAATTTATTGTTTATGTTGTATGTTTATAAATGACAAAGAATCCGAACTTCTAGCTATATATTTGCTTCACATTGTGGAGTTATCATTGTGCATCATGATTTTCTTCGGTATTATGCACTCCAGACAGTATGGTGGGTGTAGAATAACTGCATTATGTGAACTTTTTATCCCATAAGATTAGCTGTACTTCTGTTATCAGCTTAGAAATTGGGCTTTTTTTATGTATAGGACATTGCTGTGGCAGAGTTGTCTCCAACTCATCCGATCAGACTTGGTTTGGCGCTCAATTTTTCAGTGTTCTACTATGAGATTCTGAACTCACCTGATCGTGCTTGTGCTCTTGCAAAGCAGGTATATTTTTGTTTTGCTTTAATTTATTTGTAATACAATTCATTTTTGCATTGACTCAAGCGTTCTGTTGCTCTAAACATTAGATTTTCTATGATATAATTACATGTATTGACATGCATTTTGAATTTGATATTCAAGTTTTAGTGGTGTGTGATCCTGGTACACTCTCGAGTACTAATTTTTTTTGGCATGCCTTAAAAAGTTGTGTAGTTCAAACATAGATTTTTCACAGATTACTTGTTTTAGATTTCAAAGATTACTTAGATGGATGACGAAATATGGTCATCATTGAAATATGAATATACAGACATATCCTTGGGGGCGGCAAGGCTTTCAAAGACACGTATATGACTGAAGAAGTGGTCTTCCACAGATTTAACTACGTAGATTTGTGTAAAAAAGTGAACCATTATTTTAATCTCTTAGGCAATGACAGAATATGTATCCCTAGTGTTTTAGTTTTTAGTATACCTTGTGCATATTTATCATGTTTCTTCTTGATCGATCAATTTTTGCTATGAGATATGGGTGGATTAAGTGTAATGTGGTGAAAATTTCCTGGTGTTTATTTACCTATGCACATCTACAGGTAAATGATTTGCATGTCAAGTCAATGCATGCAATCATCTTGATCCCCTGCCAATTATGTACCTAATATGTGGTTGTATAGCATGTAGTTACCATGTTGTACGGACATTTTTTACAGGAGAGTACCATAGCCTACATGTATTGTTTACACAGATGTTTATAGAGAAGCTAAAATTTCATTGCTAATCTAGAGGCGGTCTCTTTCATATTTATACACCCTTGCACTCTTGTCAGTCAACTTTGTACAACGTAATCTCAAGAACTGTGGAAACTTCCTCTTCATCAGTTTAATTCTGTTCTCCTATCTCAAAGGATCAATTATGTGTGTCTAGATGCTGAACATTTTTTTTTTGACATTTTAACATTTTATATAAAGGGCATGTTTGCATCATAACGTCAAAACATTTAATGATGTCAAATAAGGTTTCAGTTGAATCTGGTCACGAGATTCAGCATTGACTACAACTTATTAAATGGCATGCATATTCCCTATTGTCTTTGGGCAAGTTTGCCCACAGCTTTGACTTTTGTAAGCCTTTTTTGTATGGCACGGTTGGTCTCCAAGCTTATTTGTGGCTTGAGATTATTAAATGCGAAAGTTGTGGAGGTGTCCATTAGAGATCCAAAGAATAGAGGATAAAGGGTGCTTGAATCTTTGCTGGCATATAACTAGAATATAACTTATACTGAGAATATCAGTTAATGGAGCAGTGTAGGTCAATGTAAGATCTGAATATGAATTAGTTTTGCATTTGGTACCTATATGCCCTACAAGAAGTACTTCATTAAACTTCAGCAAATCATGCTGGGCCCAAGTTCCCAAAACTCATGTTTAGATGATCATGAATGCTAAACTTGACTGCTGTAAAATGCCATTAAGATCAAGGGGAATCATGCCGATTGTATTGGTTTTTGTGGTCCTAACGAACACTTCATTTTAACTACTCTTCCCTTGTGAAACTGGTGCTCTGTTTCCACAGGCATTTGATGAAGCTATATCAGAGCTGGACTCTTTGGGCGAGGAATCTTACAAGGACAGCACATTGATCATGCAGCTTCTCCGTGACAATTTGACTCTATGGACCTCTGACATCACGGTTTGTCCTCTCTCATATGGTTCTTCTTTATACATGATCTGTTGCGAGATCTCTGGATAGCTTTCTTCTTTTGAGTATGTTTCTTTTTTTTATCTGTGTTTATCATATAACTCTTTTTTTTTAAATTAACCAGGAGGATGCTGGTGATGAGATTAAGGAGGCTGCAAAGAAAGAGTCTGGCGAGGGACAGTGATACTCATCTATTATTCCAGACCCTTAGGCATTAGAATATTTCCTCTGGTACTGGAAAATATAGATAAGCTCATCTGCTAGACCTTTGGTTTTCAATTTATAGAAATGTAGTCAGCATTCATATGCTCGACGATAAATAGCTCAGGACCATTTTGAGCTTATGGATGGATTGTTCTAGACCTTTAAAACAAAACATATTTGGTAATTCATGTCGGTGTGGAAGCATTCTTCTGGGGTGTTAATGGCCTTGTGGTTATTGTGGGAAATCCTTTTGTAACAGTTTTCTTTCTTCTAGTTATCATCCATGCTAATGTTTGATATCTGAGTGTTAATCCAGCTGTGCTGTTTTGTGTTGCCCTATGTGTCCTTCATTTTGGTTCTGGGCTTTGGATATAATGATTTAGATTATTTGTGTTGGGAATTTACGCCGAAACCTCTAAAACATCAGAAACGCGGTATAGAGAAAAGTACACTGAGATTTAACGAGTTTCGACAAACTTGCATACGTCTTCGGGAGCCACACAATTAATTTGTTATTAATCAACAAGAAATTACAATACAAGAGTAGATCTCAAACTTGAGATCTCTTAATAAATGCTAAATATTACTAGCTTCAGTAATATTATCACATTCTTAAATATCAATTCCTTCTCTCTTTAATTCACTTCCTCAAAAACTCGTGAGCAGAGAGAGGTCGCGAGAGAGGAGAAAAGGAGAGCCGCCGCCACCCAAAAAATCGCGAAAGAGGAGAAAAAGGGGAACAACAATCTCGGGCTCTCGGGTTTCCCTTTTATAGGGAAACCCTAGCAACATATTTGGTTGTGTTATTTTATCTGCAGTTTGTTGGGTCGGGCACGCTCGTCAATTTCTTCTTCCTTGTTTAGCTAGGGACCTTGTTCCTTTTTATAATTAATTAATAATAAAGTCCCATTTTGTATTAAAAAAAACTTTCCAAACTTTTTTTACCGAACCAAAAAACTTCCTTTCAACGAAGTTATAAGCAATGAGTTCTTAAGAGGAGGGGGGAAAGGGCAATTTGAAATTCAAATCAAAAGTGAAGAATTAAGGAAGTATTTAGTAATTTACGGTACGAGGATTTCTTGTAAAACCGTAGGCCAAATAGGCCCCAACAAGTAACATCTCTTATCAACTTATACTAGTGTGCACCCTGTACAAAGCACGACCTCTATATTTTTATTTCCGTTACAGTAATTCTGTAGTTACATATAGTATTTGTAAGTGCCATAGTAATATTTTTTTAAATGTTACAGTATCCTGCCTAAGCATAGTGATAATGTTGCAGTAATGTTTTTAAACGTTACAGTTCTCGCATGCGTTACAGTAATAATACTACAGTGATAATGATACAATAATAATGTTAATAGTAATTTACTGTAGTATAAATAGTGAATATTGGATCCTCTTTTATTATTACACAGGAATAGATTATTCTAAGATTTAACAACTGCTCGAGCCCAGCCCAGCCCAGCCCAGCCTTTCATTTACAGTATTGGATCGGGTTCTAACGGGGTTGGGTTCGATGCCTCCCACTTCAAGCTCGATCCAGTGACCGATCAACCATCCTTCTCTCTGGTAAACCTCACTAAAAACAAAGTAAATCTCCCTCCTCCTTCGGATGCGATCTCATAATCTCCAGCGACAAAACTCAAGCTGAATCAAGATCGAATCCGTCGTCAATGGAGTCTTCGTCCCAATCGACCGCCGATCGAGACAAGGGAGGTTCCCCTTCGCCTCTCGCCGTCGTCTGCAGTTTCTGGAGAGGTACTATCAAACATCTCTTCGATCTGATGGAAATTTTAGGGTTTATGAATTTATTTTAGGTTGAAATTACGTGGAATCTGTTGATAACGAAGTTAGATCCAAAACTAAACGTGCTGATTGAGGGTTTTATGAGCACATTTCGAATTGGGCACTTGGAAATGCTCCGTTAGTTGTTAGAATAATCCCACTGTCGAGATTTATGTGGATCTAAGATTTATAAGTTAGGTTCATTGTTTTATATTAGGAGATATGTTGAAGATGAGACACTTAAGAGATATAATAAGAAATTAGTGAATTCGTAGGAAGTTGGAGTTGCGCATAATGAAATGAGAGAGAATCGGTTGAGATGGTTGAACAGTTTGGTCATGTCCTACGGAGACCATTAAAATGCATTAATTGGAGGAAGTGATAAGATTATAAGGGCGTGTTTGGTTGGGCAAAAAAGTGAAGGAAACCGCAAAAAATCACCTGATACCATAGGAAAACTTAAAAAAAAAAACGTCAAGACTCTTCATTTTCGGATGTTTGGTTTGCCAAAAAGAAAAGGGAAAGGTTGAAGGAAAATGCATGCCACATCACCCAAAGCGGAAACCATGTTTCCTCTCCAAAACCTCCGATTTTGGCAGAAAATTTATCGACTCGCAATAAAAAAAATAATTCCCGCTGCGTTTTGGAGTACATCGCCCTCCTCCCACTCCTCCCACAACCTCTCCTTCTATGCCAACATTGTCAACTCTTTGTCAAGAACCACCAACAATAGAGATGTCAATGATGAGATTGGGAAGATCTTGACTGGGGTTTTGGGGGAGTTGAGGAGGGAGGGAGGGATGAGGAAGCCTGCGAGGTTGGTGAATGCGATGGTGTAGATGGTGGGGGTAGGAAGTTTTGTTTGGGATTTTGAGTGGGGGTTGAGGAAGTTGGGGATCAGGAGGGGCCGAAGATGGTGAAGAGGGAATTTTGAGGAGTGGGATGTCAATGGGAAGTGGTGTGGGTTGGATGAGGTGCAGATAGATGAGTGTGGTAGGTGTTTGATGAAACGCCGATGTGAAATTTTTTTGCTTGACTTTAGTTTGATTATTTTAGGGGTCCTAATTATCAACTGATTAATTTAGGATGTGCTAAGTTTATTATAATTGCAAAAGTATTGCATCTACCACGACAGCTTATGTAAGTTTGAGCTTAAATTTCACTTGCAATCTTACTCAACTGCAAAAGAGATTTAAATTGTAACTCTAAGTGAATCTATTCACATATATCACTTTCCTTTTTTTTTCCCCTTTCATGTGAACCAAACTATGGAAAGTGGTGGAAATTACTTTTACCCTATTTTTTTGGGCGAAACAAACACAAGAAAAATCTTTCATGAAAGTGAAGGAAACACAAAAAAAGTGAAGGAAAGATATTTTTGGAAAATGATGGAAAGCAACCAAGCACACCCTAAGTTTATAACTAATGGAGGAATAAGGACTAGATGTAGGCCAAATAAATTTGTATGGAACTACGTAGAAAGATTCAATAGTGATTAACTTACTGGAAGAGATAACCTTCAACGGAACTGAGTGCAAGAATATGATTCATGTAGCTGACCTCTTGGAATAAAGATTTGTTATCGCTATTGTTTTATTGTTTTTCACACTTGGAACATAATTCTATTCTCTTCCTGCATTGCAAGCAGAATTTGACTTAGAAAAAGAAAGGAGTGGACTCGATGAACAGGGACTGAAGATTGCTGAAAATCAGGACAACAGTCAGAAAAACAGGCGAAAACTTGCAGAGAGTACTAGAGGTACTGCCATTCTTGATATTACTAACTACTGATTATGATCCTGTAGGCATCGACATTTGATCGTATCCATTTGTCATATCGTCTTTTTCCAGATTTTAAGAAAGCATCAGCGGATGAGAAGTTAAACTTGTTTAACTCGTTACTGAAGGCTTACCAAGAAGAAGTGGATAATATAACTAAAAGAGCAAAATTTGGTGAAAATGCTTTTCTTAACATTTACCAGAAGCTATATGAAGCTCCAGACCCCTATCCAGCTCTTGCTTCTATTTCTGTGAGTATTATGACTTGGTATTTTTCTTCAGCAGTTATTGCATTTGCTTGCAGTTTATCTCAATTCTCAGGATGTTACTTGTTCAAAGTTATTTATTTGCAAAAAATGAGTTTGCCTATTCACATACAGTATGTAGGCCATACTTGCACATTAATTAACTCGTGTGTGCACATCTAATTGCATGACATTTGTAAACTTGCTAGTGTTCTTCTATTTTGGTCATTCTAATTTCTTCATTAAATTGTTTTATGTAATACAGGACCAAGACCAAAAGATTTCTGAACTTGAGTCAGAAAATCGAAAGATGAAGCTTGAACTTGAAGAGTATCGGGCTGAAGCAGCACATCTAAAGAATCAGCAGGCTACAATACGAAGACTTGAGGAGCGCAATCGCCAGCTAGAGCAACAGGTTAGAGCTTACAAAATTTTGGCCTATTTGCACTTTAATACCCTAAAGTTTCACCCATTTTAATTTTGATACCCTGGAGATTTTGATAATTTGATAAAGTTTTCAAAATGATGTTAATTGGGCAACCCCAATGCCCTTTGTTCCTCACTTCTTCCAAACACAAAAATTTGGTAAGAAATTTTGTTTAATTCACTTTTCTATCTTTATACTCTTGAACAAAATTGACGTCAACCTTTTTGCAGTCTGGGACTATCAAAGTGTCAAAATAGGACTTCATGATATAAAAAGCAAAAAAAGGGTGAAACTTTGGGGTATTAAAGTGCAAATAACCCTCAAAAATTTGAGAACTATATAATTTTCTAGGGCTTCACCTCCACTTGAATTGTGATCCACCTTTTTAACATTTTGGTTCATACTGTATACGAATCTTGATCATGAAAACTATGAATTGAGAAATAAATGTAGTGTATTCAACTACTTGTTGGTTTAGTGAGCTCTTTTGATTCATTTAAAACCAATGTTGAACCTTTTCTCAGTGTACTTATCTGACTCTAAAATTTGAATTTTAGCTTTGGTTATTTAACGTAGTTATAAAATTATGATATGTTTTTTTGGTTAAAAGCAATTTTCTTTTTGATTTTTTAATAGGTATCAGCTAAGTGGTCACTCATAGGTGTAAAAGATGAAAATTCTTATTGTCATAATTCTTAGGTTACATGTCTAGATGTTATGTTTGTCCCTTTGCTACTTGCACAGAAGATACATGTGCAAATGCCAATGCTAATGTTCCCAATGTACCCTCACCTCAAATGCAGATCCAATAGATGTATCCCCTTTATATATCGTCTTAAATTAGCATAGCCCAAACCTTTGCAGTGAAACAAAGCATGTGACAAATTTGATTACACTGGTTTCAATTGTTAAGTAATCTCAAATTCCTGGAACTATTAGGTATCATGATCATTTCTCTTCTCCATTTGCTATGGATTTTTCGTGATATTATGAGTTATAAAATTAAATATAGTAGGTATTCATCCAAGTTCATATTGATTTAAAATTCACAATCTTATCATCTTATTAAATTGTAATATGACTATTGAATGAGTGTGCAGATGGAGGAGAAAGTGAGAGAAATAGTTGAGATCAAGCAGCGTAGTCTAGCTGAAGAAAGTCAGAAGACACTGGAGGTTCTGAAAGAAAGGTGCCTTTATTGCTGTGAAAATAGTCCATTTACTCTTAAAATCTCCTTTTCTTTTTCTAACATCATCATAAAAAGCTTTTTATTTTGTTTTACTTAACTGGTTTGGAGACTGTAACATGTCCTTTGAACTCATTGAGCAGGGAGTATCTGTTGCAGGATCAACTGCGACAAGCCAAGGAGAGTGTGATGAATATGCAGAAATTACACGAATTTGCACAAAGCCAAATGTTTGAACTTCGTGCTCAATCAGGTTCAGTGTTTTTCTGTACATGATGTGTTGCCATTTCATTTATGCAGCAACATGCTGTCAAATAAGTTTAAACTTTTAAACACAAAAAGATCATTTTGCAAAATTACTAAGATAGAAATATTTTTAACATCCAGAGGAGGAAAGAGCTGCTAGGCAAGCTGAGGTCAATCTTCTTATGGATGAGGTTGAGCGGGCTCAAACGCGTTTACAAAGTTTGGAGCGAGAAAAGGTAATTAACTAACCTGTATTTCTTGTATGATCATAATACCTTGCAAATCTTAGCATGAGCAAATAACTTGGATGTTCCCCCCTCCTTTGATATAAAATTTATGTGTATGTACATTGTACAATTAATCCTAACTTGTGAGAAGGAAGGCATGTTTCTCGTGGGCACCCAATTCTCAAAGTACAACTAATACTGACTGGTGAGGAGGCATGTTCTCTTTACAGCCAATTCTTTAGCTCAAAGTACTTTTAACCCTTATGTAATTTTGTTGAATTACTTAAGAAAGAGTATAGTACAAGATAGACCTCCTCGATGACGTATATCAAATCCAGGCTTTAAAAACTCAGAACTTCTAATTGGAGCCTTATATTTTCTATTGTTCAATTACTGGTCATTTTTCTTGAGAGCAATTGTGGATGCTCATATATTCTATGATATTCAAGTAGAAGTCATGCATTCGAGTTCCATCACCATGTAGAGCTTTTTACCATTATATGAGTTTGACATGAAAACTGATTAGTTCATTTAGTTGTAATATTAGTGAGTGAAAGAAGAATTCACTTTTGATGAATTTTCCCTTTTTTATTATATTCATGCAGGGTGTTTTGCGTTCTCAATTGCAAACGACTAATGAAGAACATGAAAATAAAAACAGGTGAGCCATATTTCTTTTCTTCATATTTTCTATTATTTTACCAGGTATATCTAAATTGTCCTATGTCTTCGTTCAAAAAAAAAATTAAAAGCATCACTTTTTGGATTATAGCTTTTACATACTATGATGTTCCTAGACAAATATAGGTTGGTGACAATGTATCATGACATGAAAGCCAAGAAGAGATTTGGCTGTTGATCTTTACTGCAATCAAATAAGCTTTCTAGCCTTGTGGGACTCCAGCTTATTGATAAATTGACTAGTGTTTCAACCTTGGTAACTTGGTAAAACGTAAGATTAACATTTCTATTATTCTGTGGTTTTGTCTTCACGTCCCATTTAAGATAACTTTCAAATCAAATCTTTATTGAGTGGAAGCTTATGTGGACAATGTTTTATTCCTGTATCACACATTGCCTTCTAAAGTCTAAACTAAGCTTGGAATGGGATCTTGGCACAGATTCTCCCTTAATTGCAAATTATAATATGTAGTGCCCAGTCCTATAGATGAATGTCTTTAGACTTTCATTTACTAGTTCCAATGTAGTACCTTTTGCATCTATTTTTACTAAAAACTTTTTCCCATCCATGAGTAATTTTTCAGTCAGTTTTGGGAAGCTTATGTACCCTAAACTATTATATACCAGCCTTTAACACTTCCATCCTTCTCAACCCTAACTAGTATAGGAAGTTGAGAGCTACTACTTAGTTGCATGAGTTTTAAGTTGCATGACCAGCAAGTTGCATGCAACTTTCAAGGTCTTTTAGAAAGCCCCTCTCTTGTCCATATATTTCTTTCCTGTTATTTTAACACAATCATGAGAACTGCTACCAGTTAACTGCCAGTTAGAATTTTCTCTTGTTGTGGACTTTCATGAGTTTACAGTTGTGCTGGGGCTATCTAATGACAAAAGATTGTAGATGTAATTATCACAAGATAATTATTTGCAGCAATGTAGGTAAATAAGTAAAACATGATATTGTTCTCGTTGGAATATCCCCTTGGTGGTCCTCTCATCACACTATATGCTAATTGCTAATACGTATTCTCATTCCTTTTCACTAAATTTTCTCCCTAAGTTTATTGTGAATTGCAATACTGTTCTCTTTTGTTAATTTATTTCAAAATGAAACTTTAACATGTGCTGTTTTCTGACTTCTGTTTGATATTCATTGATGTTCTTTTTTCGCATTGATCTGTTCATTTATTTTTGTACTTATTTGAAGTTGGCATGAATTTAAAATGTGCAGCGATGATCTGGATCCAACAAATGTACTTGAAAATTCCTTGATTGCAAAGGAGAAGATAATCTCGGATTTGAATATGGAACTTCATAAAATGGAAACCACCTTCTCGAATGAGAGGGAGCAGTACATAAATGAGATTAAGAAATTAAATACATTACTTGATGAGAAGGTTTGTATTACATTCTTTTCCATTGTGATTTCTATTCATCTTGTTCATCTTGTGCGGAGCATGTCATGGCACTGTGAGCTAGCATATGACAGACCTCCATAAAGATCACCATGATAATGTGTGCATGAGCCATACTATTTGTGATTACGACTTTGTCCTTTGGGATTACCCAAAGTTCGAACTGACAGGAGGTAGTCTAACTAAGAATTATGCATGAAAGAAGATAGCATTGATTTACACATAATATTTTATAGTATCCTGATAGTGATAGTGATAGTGATATTTTAATTTGTTGTTTTCTGCAGGTACTTTCTTTATTTGTGGTGTTATAGTTTTGGGTACTGATTCTTTAATATAATATTTTCTTGTTCGGCAGGATACTGCTCTTATAGAGATCAAGAAAGAGCTTCAGGAAAGGCCAACTGCAAAACTTGTTGATGATCTGCGTAAAAAAGTTAAAATTATGCAGGTGCATCTACTAATCTGAAGTGCTTTATCTTCTGCAACTGCAAGATGTTTACTATCTCCTCATGCTGGAAGCTGTCATGATGAAATGCTTAGGAACTTTATCTTCCCTTGCATCTATCTGGTTATTTCTATTTGATTCTGACATAACATACAGTGATTCTATTAGGGGGTAATTGGGAAATGATAAATGATAAGTGATTTGAAGAATAATGGAATTCAATTTTTTTATCTGAACCCTTGACACTATTTCTGTAGTTCTGTAGTAAATAGGAAATTAGAGATTTCTGGATTGCTCTCCTGAACAGTACCTCTGGTTACTACTACGGCAGTCTTGCCGCACGCCCACAAAAGAGGAGAGAAACAGAAAGAGCCACCACCAGACCATCTTCTCTTCTTTTTCTACCTCAATTCCACGAGAGTCTAATCTTATCTTGAATCAATTTCAACAAACTTTTCGAAAACTAAAGGATTGGACCCCTAATCTTCATTCATTGGTTGTACAGTATGCTGTCATGAGCCCAATTCAATAATTTGTTTATATATTTTACCATAGATATGTAAATTCTGCCCAAAAATATCAAGCAAGTTAATGGGTGCAAGAACAGGACTGGACCGCTATCTTCTTAACATTTCTTAACTATGAAACTTTTTCATGTCATGCTGAGAGTTGTTACTCATGTGATCTTCCAGCTTACGTATTACAGTGTTATATGATTTGTCAGTTTAATTTGAAGTACTTAAGTAGCACAAGGTAGGTGGTATTTTATGTGCATGTAAAATTGTTATACTTTTGTGATTACTGTAATCATATTTGTATTAGCTTGATGATCATCACCCTGTTTTCACAACTTCCTCGTAATATTAATGTATGTATAAAATGCTTAGTTCTTTGAGTTTTCTTCAAGAATTTCCATTTTTATTGAAACTCTATCCATTGAGGTTGGTTCCATTTTACAGATTTTGAATTGTCTTATCTGTATAGGCTGTTGGTTACAATTCAATTGAGTCTGAAGATTGGGAAATAGCTACTGATGGTCAAGAAATGAGCAAGCTGGAGTCTCTGCTTCTTGACAAGAACAGGAAAATGGAACATGAATTGACACAATTGAAGGTCTGAGCTCCAAATATTCACAATTTGAAATAGTATTCAAGGATATTTCTTCAGCTCTATCACTACTTGAGTATGGAGTTTGTTATATTGATCATATGGTTATACCAGTCTTTACGCAGGAAACTATTTGTTCTATTATTTATCAAAGTTATTATTTTGCATCCTAACATTAGCTTGTCTTATCTTGCCTGATTGAGGTTTCTTCCTGTGGCCAAGGTCAAAATTTCAGAAAAAACAAGTATGTTAGAGACAGCTGAAGCAAAGATTGCAGAGCTGACTGTGAAAGTGAATGAACAACAAAGGTTAATTGCAAAACTTGAGGATGACATACTCAAGGTCTGTTATATCTTCCCACGACAATAATTATGCTATTCAAGTTTATATAACTTCTGTGCTACTTCAACTAACCTTGAGAAAAGTTTCTGCCTTTTCTGTGTCCGTACAAATAATTCAACTTTTGATAAATTATTGATTAATTATCTTTGTGCGAGTGTCTATATTAATCCCTGTTATTAACAAATGATTTGATAGTTTTTCTCAAGTAATATATTTCCTGTCTACAGGGTTACAACTCAACAGAACGTAAGGGTTCTGCTTTCAATGACTGGGATCTTCAGGATATGGGCACAAGTGAGATATCTGAGGTATGATGTTAGTTTTCACATTATTACAATTATTTTCGTACTTTTTGTTTATTAATATCTTTGAGAAATAGATTGCCCAAGGTTAAAAACTATGTTCTCTTTGTTACAATATTCATTTTCTTTCCTAGTACTGGCATCGGAACACTTCTACATTTTCTGATTCAATTAATTTGAATAAGCCCACACAACATCATTGGACAATTAATTATTGTACACAATTTTATTCTTTAGAATGTGAGTATGTTGCTATTATACGTTCTTTTTTAATTGTTGACATGGGTAAAATTTAATCCTTGAAAGGAGCAAATTTCTTAAGATCATATATGCACATAGTGTTGGATATTCATGTGTGTGTATATTCTCACATCAAATAGGATAAGAAAAGTGATGAGATAAAATAGGAGTTGGGGTCAATACCTAGTAGCTAATAGCTTTTGGGTTAAAATTGGTTTCTACCTCTGTTTAAAGCCCATTAACTTGGTTGGGCCTGAATACTCCCCAACAAACCTTATCGGAGCTAAGGTTATGACCCAACTAAAAAGAAAAAAAATGGCCTGGATAAAAGTCAAGTCCATTGTGAATGGGAAAAATGTGAAGACCAATGTGAAGTCCTGGAGGCGTCGGGAGAATAACTAAGGTCAATTTAGACCAAGTTAAGTTAATCCACAGATGCCCGTAGGAGTGATATGGTTTGGTTAGTCTACTAGTGAAGTGGTGGTCACAAGTGAAGTGGTGAAAGATCTTATGGATGTTTAACAGTCATTTGCCGAATTCGTGGTTGATAGTTCAGACCAAATTAGTGAATTCGGTGGAAGATTGAACTATAATCACGGGAGATTGTTGGATATTCATGCGTGAGTATAGTCCCATATCAGATAAGATAAGGAAAAGTGATAAGTTTAAAATAGGAGTTGGGATAACTACTTAGTAGCTATAGCTTTTGGGTTAAAATTGGTTTCTTGCTTCTGTTCAAAGCTCATTAACTCGGTTGGGCCTGATTACTCCCCAACACATAGAAGAGAAGAAAACATATGATATGCTAGTTGTTTTATTCCCAAATGTTTGAAAATTGGAAATTATTTGTGGATAATCTTCAATAGCAGCATAATGAGAAGCACTTACATGCATAAGATAGCCGAGTAATAAACCATAAATGATCATCTGCATAATATTTTAACTTAAAAAATAATAAAATTATCCTAATTAGTACACTAGTATAGTAAAATTGTATCTCCCACGCGCACACACGGACACTCACAAAAGCAAAATTAAGAATGATAAAGTTTCCTGAAAGTTTGTCTAGATTATACTAAAAAAAGTTGATGTCATAAAATAATTTCCAATTTAATAGTAAATCCGTACCATCAGATCTCAAGAGATTTTCAGAAGGAAGCTTCTGAATTCAGATAAACTGGTTAATCATTCGAGACTGCAAATAACAAAGAAGGCAACAATTGTTTGAAGAAAAATCAGAAAATCAGATTCCAGATCAGCAGTCTGAGGAAAGACAATCCAAAACATCAAAACCTTTTTTCTTTTCTTTTTTTGTTCTTTCTTTTTCTAGGGGATCAAAACCCTCTTTTGAATTCGACAGAAGTTCAAATTTTGAATTGTTGTCATTCACTTTTGAGGGGAAATGCAATTAATTGAGATTATAGTCACGATTATTAAAGCATTTACACTTTAGTTAGTGCCAATCACATTTTAGTTTGCGCCAATCAGCAAAGATGCTGGACAATAAAGCACTCACTTAAGAGGAAGCCTCCCAGACACTTTTCGTCATTATGTGACTTATGTTCAGTTACTAGAGTCAAGTCATTGGAGAAGAGGAGGAAACATTGAATGGAGTTGGAGGCTGAGGTAAAGCATGTTAAAAGAGGAAGGAGATGATGCTACTGAAAATGAGGGGTTTCATATTGTTTGTGATTGCTCAGGTGAAGTATAGGAGGCAGGCTTCTCTGAAGTTGTCAAAGTTTCAATCAAAGTCATCTTTGTAATGAACTGCCCCCTTACCCTAGCAGAGAGAAAGGAATGGTAGTAATGAACTCCTGGCTTCATTCAACTTAAGAAAGCAAACCAGGAAGGAAATAAACAGGAATCGGCATCTCGAACAAAGGCAATTCTTTACTCTCTAGTCCTAAACAATGTTTAATTGGGAGAAACAGAAATATTTTTGTTTTTTAGCACTAGGCAAATGTGTATCTCCTATATGTAAATCCAGTGAAAACGTGATATTTTCCCCTTTTCTAAAGAAGCTAGCATGACACCCGAAGCTCTCACTGCATCCGAAAACCCGTTACAGAAGATGAGCGGCCCCAAGTGGGTATGACATACAACCTTTCCTGTTTCCTTCTTCTGGAAACCTTTGCTTAATAAAAGTAATCTAGTCATTTACAGGATAAGTCTTCTGAAGCCACTAGCCAAGTAAGGCAATATTCTTATCCCTAAGAAAGCAACTCCTAAATCACCCTTGACCTTTACATTTACCAGCATTATCCCCACATACAAGGATTCTTTTGTTTTTAAGAAAGGAGCTCCTAAACAAAAAAACGCTATACAAGGCCATCCAATCTTCTGGACAACCCACTCTAGTATATACTAGGACATTACATAAAAGTGAGAGAAGAAAACACATGATTGATTAAAGCAAGCCTATGGACCCAATTTCTTTTTTAACTCAACAAAATTGGCCAGTCATATTCCAATGATTTTATCAAAGCGAAGCGAACATAGATAGGTCAGGAATGGTGTCAATTCTACATTCTGCTGTTACTCAGGATTACCATCCAACCAGAAAGCTAATAAGTTATTAAAGGGGTAAGTAAACCAGAGATACTGAGAGAAGGTCAGGTCGTTTTTTTTAAATTTCTCACCTTCTCCGTATTGGCCATAGAGGAGAGTGGAGTATCATCAGCAAAGAGCAGGTCAAATTTGAATGAGAATCATCTAAAGTTTAAATAGTACCCTTTTCTTTGCTCTTATTTAGCATGCTGCTAGAAACATTTGCAACGAGGAGTCAAGGACAAACAACAAAGGGGATAAAGGGTCTCCCTGACACAAACACCTGTTACAAATAAATATCTCGCTGAGAGCCATTAAGCACAAGAGTATCTTTACCAGAGAATAAGCAGTGGTAATCCATAAACTCTAACCTTGAGAATATTAATAAAAAATATTCAACCCAAATTTATGATATGCTCTTTCAAAATCAAGCTTAAGAATGATACACAAATGAATGTATACAATTATAAGTTTAGTTAGCACATGCCAATAAGCGTAGATGATAAATTTATAGCAGGCTCCAGTACTACTTTCTTTCTCTGTTTTTTCTTATAAACTCCAAGCATTCCGAGACTTCACAAAGATAAAGAGTTAGCTTGGTTATTCTAAGAAATGAATGAAAATTTGGTTGGCTTCAGCTGTAGATGAGGACCTCAAGAGGACTTACAAATGTACCAGTGTTGGGATCGGGATGGGGGTATGGCCTAAAGCAGTCCCTAGTCCCAGAATTACATGACCCTAGATTTTAAGTCCAACACCTACTTCCTAAGCTTAAAGTTTTCAGAACATATTTATCACACGTGCTTAAATAATATTATACCCGAGAAGCATGTCGTTTCATCCTTCTTTTGCTGGCTGCATGAATGATGAAACATCTTTATCCATCTACGTTTTCGGTATAATTAAATCCAAGATGAGAAAATTGCTTCCATTTTCTTAACCCCTTTCCACATAGTCTGGTTTTGACCTGATTTTCATCAACGATTACGGCTGAAATAAATTTCTTATTTGCACTTTAGTTGACTAATAGCCCTCTAATTTTCCAGTTCTGTATGCTTAGTTTTGAATTAACTTGCATGAAAATGGGTACGGGTACTCGTATGGGACATGGCAAAATTGTAAAAATGTAGGGTATATATAAGTATATATATATATTATATATATATAGATTAATAATTTACATGAGATCATTATTGTTCTTCAATTCACGTGCTACTAGAATTAAAATGCCTATCATGTTTCTAGGTTTCTTTTATTATGTTGATCATTGTAAATTGGAAGCTACTCATATTTGAACTAGACACCCAAACGACCCTTCAAAATCACAATTTTAAACTTGGTATGGGCTAAAACGAATCTGACCTATGTCTAACGATTTTCAAGAAATGGATGTGAGCATTGTGAAGTGTGAGATATACGTCTAAGAAGTGCTTGACAAGTGTTTTAAATTAAAACATACATCATGTAATTGAGCACATCTGAATAAATATATGCATATATCCAAGGAGTGTCCATGAAGTTTGTGTACAGATAAGTGTAGGGTATGTGTTGGGTATGGGTACAGCTTCATGATAGAAGTACCCAAGTAACATAGGTTTTGAACGCAATCTTCTTGTTCTCATCTATTCAACAAACCGCACCACGTTCCATACTCATTCGAATTGTACATTTTTAAATAGTGGGATAGAAACATTATTCTAATCCCTATATTGATTGTGCATTTTGTGCCATCATTCTCATATATTATGTTCATATTTTGTATGTCAATCATATTTGCAACACTGATTTCCTTGAGAGACATTACTGCTCGACTCAAATCTCTTTTGGCAAAGTATGATCTTTTGGTCATTTTCTCAAGTTTATTTTATCATTTCATGTTTTCCTTTGTTTAACAAATCAGGGTACTGATCAAAGGCATATAGTGTCCGATCAAGATCAAAATTCAATGCTCAAGGTAATATGCAATCAGCGTGATCGTTTCCGTACGCGATTACGCGAAACAGAAGAGGTATGACATCAGATGTTGATTAACTCATTATTTTCTTACATTAATTATTCTTTTTTAACTTATTTATACTTCCATATCCAGGAAGTAAGACTTTTGAAAGAGAAAATAGGGTTGTTAACAGCAGAACTGGAGAAAACGAAGGCAGATAATGTTAAGCTTTATGGAAAGATCCGATATGTTCAAGACTACAGCCAAGAAAAACTTGTTTCTAGGGGACCAAAGAAGGTGTTGTTGATATGATTATGTGATCTTCAGTTATTTGTCCGTGCTTCTTGGTTTTGACCTTCTGTCTCTTTTCAGTATGCAGAAGACATTGAAAGTGGTTTCAGTTCAGATGTAGAATCCAAATACAAGAAAATCTATGAGGATGATATAAATCCTTTTGCTGCTTTCTCAAAAAAGGTACTTGTTGCTTAGTTAGAAAATTTTTATGTTTTCAAAAATCCAACCAATGACGGAACAAGCAATACTGTCATTAATGTCATCACTGTCTGAGCTGCAATTAGGAGACATGTTCATAAAAATCGCTTCACGTTTCTGCCAAAACTTCAATTGCTTTATATATTATTATGCTCAACTTTCTTCAACCTAAGTTTTACTTAATGGCTTATGAGTTCTGGGAACTATGAACTCCAGAATGTCATGCATAGTAGGAAAATCTTAGTATATCTCTCTACCTATAAATCATTCAATATCATGGCATAACATGAAAATGATGCATCTTGAAAAGAACTTACTTATGTCAATTTTAGGTAGTTCTAGCATATAACATTTTTCTTGCTTCTGGCATGAGAGACCAAGAGCGTCAACATGTAACCTAGTAGAGAATCACAATATTTGAACTGCAGTGTTTGTAATGCAGAGCATAAAATACACAATGTGCATTGAACTGGGGATGGGATAAACATATACGTCCTTCGAGTCTATTTGTTTACCTTCTCTGGATCCATTTTCCAAGACATGATTTCTTATTGTGTGGTGGTCATATTATTCAGTGTTTGCCTGTCATTCAGTCAATTCTGTGATGTAAACTCTAAATTAACACAGCATGGACATGGCTTTTAACATGCTGAAGATGGTTTTGCTCTTCAGGAAATATGGCAACAGAATGCCCCAGACCAACTACATGTCAGTTGTTGCATCATTGTTCATAATTAACTGTTAGAAGTTGAGGAAATATATAGTCATCATATTAAAGTTTATGCAGCATCTATCTATAGCCATAAAGCAGTTACCGTGTTGTGCATAGAAAAAAGTTCATTAACACTGTTAAAGTTGATACAATAAACATATTAATAGATACTGATTATCTCTTCAAATTATCATGCTTAATAATTTTATTCATGTTGCTTAATTAGAACGTCAACATAACATGAGTTATGACTCATGGCAGTTTGTTCATTTTAGAAAATCATTTTTGGTATTTCATTCTGACTTATATTACATCTTGCCTTTTGCCTGATACATTATAATGTATTAAATCAGGAGAGGGATCAAAGGTACAAGGAACTTGGTATTAGAGATAAGATCACACTTACCAGCGGTCGTTTTCTTCTTGGCAACAAGTATGTTTACTCGCTTTCGCCTGAAAAAGCTTTTATTTATATTTCTTCTGATGGGGATATCTGATTATCTCACTGAGGCAGATTATTTTTTACCATACCCTGTCTTACCACTTGTTTCTTAATGGTTATCATTTGAAATATTGATTCGCAAGCGTCTAGTTCAGTGTTTCCCTGCTGTTTCTTTCATGTTATTTCAGTTGTCAGTTTAGTTAAAAAATTGTTACCTAAATGAAAAGGAAGCCTAAATTTTTGTGGTACTGGTTCTATATTTACCTTGTTCGATAAGTGAACAACAGGAAGCAAGTTTCTTTATATACTGTTCTTCGGATCCTTGAACCATATACACTGGTTCTGTGTCAGATTTATTGTCAACTTAACTTGCATTTATTTCTTTGTTTGCCCCGTTAATTGCAGATACGCCCGAACTTTCGTATTCTTTTATTCCATTGGACTGCATCTCCTCGTGTTTACATGCCTCTACAAAATGTCAGCCTTGAGTTATCAAAGGTATTATTATTAGTTGATAGTGTAAAATTTTAATTATAGTCTAATTGACATCTCTGTAAGTTGATTCATTATCTTTATACCTGCAGCACCACAACGCATGCTCGTGATGATGTTATCTACGCCGAGAATGGTACATTAACACATGCCTTCTTATAAAAGTAGAATATTAACACTGTTCTTTTATTATTTGAAATGGAAAGGGTATATCTTTCCTTTGTCTATGATGTAAAACGAACAATTATGTATGTACATAAAGGAGAGAGAATTTTCTGTAACTATGGTACTTACATAGAAAATAATTGATTTATATTTCTGTAGACAGCAATCTTTTGGCATGGGCAGATGTTGCTACGATTTACACTTTTTCAAAATTGATGTTTCAATATGAGATTCTTTTGAAAAAAATACTTGCTGAATTATTCAAATATAAGTGGCGGTTACGCTGGAAAATTCGAGGATTAAAGATGCAAATGTTAGCAACAGAAAATGCTATCACTATGTACATCGTTTGATATCCACTTTTATTTGTGAATAAGATTGGTATTGACTTAGCGAGATTCGTTAATTGGGATTCTTGCTTTTATGCGTACTCGTCCTAGTTTCTCTTAATGAGACTATTTGGTTATGTTTTGAATCAAAGAGTTATATAATAGTGCCTCATTTTTTCGTACTGTAATCTCATAGTAAACTCCATGATTCTATTAGATTCATAGACAAAGACCTGTTTTTTTTGGTACTGTAATCTCAAAGTAAAACTAAGGGGACGTAAGTTTAAACCCAATGATACTGCAGGGGTCTATCTATAATTAATCATTCAAATTAAAAGGAATTGAGCGTAGAGAAAGCATACCTCGCACCAGGCAAGGATTTAACTGGTGGAAGAGATATTGAGACTAAGTATATTCAGCGAAAATCATCATTCACTAAAGGAAACTAACCTACATCCTAAATCCATGCATCTTAATTGATTTGTGTCAGAGAGCAAATATTAAAATCAATAATTTCAGAATATAAAAAATTATGTTCATGTATTTGGATCCTTGTTTTATGAGCAGATTCAGCGCACCTTTTTCTTTTTCTTTTGTTGAAATTTGAGTACCTTGCACTCTCATTCTTTGTTTTTTCTCCTTAACGTATCAGTACAAAATCCTAACTTACAGGCGATAGTTCTTGAGATTACCACATTCTCAGATTTATTTTAAGGGGTTTTCTCATATTAAGCTCTTTTTTTTTTCCAGTTTACACGGGACCCTCAAACCTTCATATTTCTAATTAATCTTTAGGCCTCCTCATGTAAATGAAAATGACAGGTAAGTTAGGATCATGTATATTTATAATATAACGGTCGTGAAACATTCATTCATCTTGGAGTAGGTCTCTTTGTGAACCTACATTTCCTTTCTCCTCCTTCACATTAATTGCCTCCGGGATTTTGATTCCATGCCACGCTTTCATGCGATGAGAACCGAAGGATGAGTGGTGCATGGTTTGGAGATAAGAGGGAACGATTTTTAGTAAGTTCGAATCGACAATTGTAAGGACTGACGGTGTTATCATTAATGGAATATTATACAAACGATTAATTTGTTTATCAATTCTTTAATTTATAGACGTCACTATTTTGCTCATTGTCTGTTGACGTAATGAGATTAATCTGCACCCTGATGTTGATAAACATGTACATGAAAACCAACCCTATTCATATATATAGCTAGTATTTTTTTTCCTTAATTATAAAAAACCACTCATGAATTTTTATTAACCACCAGAAGCAAAGTAGTCAAGCTCTTTTAACTGCATCCAGATTTGCTCAGTAATTAATGTCCTCTCTTAATGTCGAATCTGAAAAAATGTTCATATATTGCGGCTGTGTTTGGTTTGAGAGAAAGAGAGAGAAAGGAAAGTAAAGTGTGAAAGAAAGTAGGATTCTGTTGTGGCTGTGTTTGGTTTGAGAGAAAGAGAGAGAAAGGAAAGTAAAGTGTGAAAGAAAGTAGGATTCTGTTGTTTGTTTTGAAAGAAAACAAAAAGGAGAGAGAAAGGAAAGTAAAGTGTGAAAGAAAGTAGGATTCTGTTGTTTGTTTTGAAAGAAAACAAAAAGGAAAAAGAAAACGAATTTCACTGCAGAAAAATGGGTATATATTTTTTTATTCCCCATTTCTCTCCGTTGCCCTAGTGAAAACGAGGGAGAGCGACGGAAAAAAAAATCCCCCGACGCGATCGCGACGATCCCGATCTCTCCTCGTCGCCAAACTCGAGTCCTCTCTCTCTCTCTCGGAAAAAATCCCCCGACGCGATCGTGGTGATCCCGATCTCTCCTCGTCGCCAAACTCTAGTCCTCTCTCTCTCTCTCTCTCTCTCTCTCTCTTCTCTCGATCAAACCCTAGTTCAACACCGACTAAACTAGGGTTTCTCCAATCGAGCTCTCGTCAGCTTGAGAATCCCGATCTCCAATCGAGCTCTCGTCAGCTTGAGCTCTTGGATCTCTCTGTCAACATGAATCCAAATTCATCCGAGGTAAATTCTGCTCATATTTTTGTTGGTTTTTGAAGTTTAATTTGGGTTGGATTAAGACATGCTTCGGTTTCGTGATTAAGACCATCTCCAACCCATTGCACCAAAATGGTGCAAAATTTGCATCAAAATGGTGCAAAAGTCACATCAAACAATAATACATCTCCAACCCATTGCACTATTTTTTGCACCAAAAAAGAATATTCTCAATATATTCTCACTTTATTCCTTTTTATCTATTTTTATATTAATTGAGAGGTAAAAACAAATATTTAAAAAAATTTAAAAAAAGTGAACAGTAATGGGACGGATGAACAGTGTGACGCCATATTTAGTGCAGCACTGTTCATTTGCACCAAAATAGAGCAGAAAATGGGGCTGGATTGGAGAAGGAACAGTGCAACAAAAAGCACTGTTTGCACCAAAATAGGGCTGGGTTGGAGATGCCCTAATCTAACTTAGAGAGGAAGCTATACATATACTGTACCCAAAAATCAAAAGGAATTTCTCACCTATATGCAAAGAATCCTCATTTGATCAATTATTGAAATCATAATCCTTTTTTTAATCTTGAGGAAGCAAGCGTGTATTATGTTTGAATCTGATAGTGTATGCATCACTGTTTGCATTTACAGGGATGCTAGTTGATAGGGAAGTTCTATTATTCTGTCAAATTGGAATTGAACCATTGTTGCTAGGATGGTTAATTTCAGCCAAAGCATATGCATGATTGTAGCTTGAGATATCCTCCTTTGTGTTTCTATCTTTTGCTAGATTGCAATTAATTCGTATATGGAAGGTGTCTATATTTCTAATGTATGAATTTATTGGTGTCTATATTTCTATTTTGAAGAAATGTGCAAAACAAAAAAACTTTCGTCTGTGATTTCTCACATTGGCGTTCTAGATATGCTGCAACTTCACAAACTTCACTTGCATAGCCTCTCTCTAGCCTCTCTCTGCTCAGCTGTTTCATAATAAGATATGAATATTGTAGGCATATAAAATTGCTTATAGGTTCCTTAGCACAGTTCGGCATAAACCGACGAACCAACGAGGCGACGAATTCGACGAATCGCACGTAAGCGACGGAATGCATCCATACGCGTTCGGAATCAAGCCAAGTGTCAAAGAATCAATGAGTCATCCAACTGAGAACAGACTCAGACGAATCACGATCGAATCAAGATCAGTTTCGGACTCGAACTCAGAAGCGATTTACTGCCTAATCGGGATCCAGACTTCCAAATCAAGATCCCGAACAAATCAAAGTTCACAACAGAACCACAACCGAATCACGGACAGAACCGGAACCAGAAAGAGCGGAAAACGACGAAACAACCATGCCTAAGGGGGCTCGGCCAAAGCCGAGCCACCCATAGGTGGCTCGGCCAAGGCCCGGCCACCCATGGGTGGCCGACCCAGATCTGTGCGCGGGCACAGTTCAGGAGACTCAGATCTAAAAAAGATCTCAACTTTGGGACATCAAGGACTTGCTCATCCAGATCTGGTGCTCGGCGATCATCAACGTCAAATAAGGCAGGTGTTCGAGAGGATCAGATCTCAGATCTACGCAGGCATACTCCGGATCTAAGCTTGGTCTTAGATCCCGAGACTTGGACGATTGTTTCCTTGGTGAATCAATCCTCCCCGGCTATTATTTCCTTTGTGGAATAATACCCGTCGTACTGCTTAGATCTGACCGGATCTAGATCTCGCGGTGGTCCACGGCAAACAACCCCGGCGCAGGCAAAGAACCCACAAAGCGAGCGACCGCAAAACAGGAGCTCGTGATTCGTTCGACAAACAAGGAAAGTTGTAATTTTCTTTATTTCTTGTGTTATTTGATTTTCGTTGTAACCGGATCTATAAAAAGACCGGATCTTTGTAATCGATAAACTATTACAAGAGTGTACAATGGAATCATTAATGAAGAAAGCAACGAATTTCCCCGCGAACAATCTGGCGACCACAGTGGGAGCCGACGATCTCGCCAACGAGATCGATGCGTCGCAGCCACGGATCTCAATCCCGATCGTGGAGGAGGTCGAATACGAGTTCGATCAGACCAAGTTCGAGGAATATCTTTCGTCCTCGTCCGGAT